ACCAAAAGCTAATATAACAAAGGCATCAGAGATTATTTATAATCTGTCACAGAAACTGGAATCCATCTCCCCAGATCAGTCAATAAATGCTTCTGGTATTGACTTATATGCTGCCCCTGTCTTCATGTTGTTGCTGGACATATCTTTTTTAAAATGTGTGTAGGTCACCTAAATCATCAGAAAAATTGCCCCTCCTGAGAATTTTTTCAGGAGCCGCCACTGCATGAAGGCCTGATTCACACAGTCTCCTCTGAACAGTTAATGTTGAGATGTGTCTGTTACTTGAACTCTGTGAAGCATTTATTTGGGCTGCAACTTCTGAGGCTGGTAACTCTAATGAACTTATAACTCTGGGTCTTCCATTCCTGTGGCAGTCCTCATGAGAGCCAGTTTCATCATAGCGCTTGATGGTTTTTGCGACTGCACTTGAAGAATCTTTCAAAGTTCTTGAAATGTTCCGTAGTGACTGACCTTCATGTCTTAGAGCAGGGGTGTCAAACTCATTTTAGCTCAGGGGCCACATGGAGGAAAATCTATTCCCAAGTGGGCCGGACCGGAAAAATCATGGTATATATAACTTAAAAACAACAACTTCAGATTGTTTTCTTTGTTTTAATACGATCAACATACAACATAAAGCTGGAGCCTGAGGACAGTGTGTCCAAAATAGTACAAGCACAACATCACTATTAATCATAAAACACGTCAAGTTTATTTGAAAATTCTAAAGAAAAAGAACACACAAACACACAATGCCTCAGTGATTAACAGAACTGTTTCACAGATCACAGAACTATATCAGGGTGTCATTTCTCAGGCAGAAATGTAGATAAAAATAATGAAATCCTGTTCCCCAAACAAGTGCAAGAACCACAGAGTCAAGAATAGGTTAAATATACAAATAAAATAAAAACAATTAAAAACAATAGCACATCAACATAAAAACATATAAACATAAAGCTGGAGCCTGAGGACAGTGTCCAAAAGCACAACATCACTATTAATCATAAAACACCTCAAGTTATTTGAAAGTTCTGAGGACAAAGAACACACAAACACACAATGCCTCAGTGATTAACAGAACTGTTTCACAGATCACAGAACTATATCAGGGTGTCATTTCTCAGGCAGAAATGTAGATAAAAATAATGAAATCCTGTTCCCCAAACAAGTGCAAGAACCACAGTGTCAAGAATAGGTTAAATATACAAATAAAATAAAAACAATTAAAAACAATAGCACATCAACATAAAAACATATAAACATAAATCTGAAAGCGTTGCTCAAACTCCCGTAACAGTCCCGTTATTTTATCTTTGAACCGCTTCATGTCTGCCACATGGCGGCAGGTAGCTTAGTGGGTAAGAGCGTTGTGCCAGTAACCGAAAGGTCGCTGGTTCTAATCCCCGAGCCGACTAGGTGAAAAATCTGTCGATGTGCCCTTAAGCAAGGCACTTAACCCTAATTGCTCCTGTAAGTCGCTCTGGATAAGAGCGTCTGCTAAATGACTAAAATGTAAATGTAAAAAAATGTTGGGTCGCGCACACATTTTTCAGACAGGGGAAGTGAGCTGCATCACCACCGGCAAGTTGCGTCTCCCACAATGACAGCTTCAACTTGAAAGAACGTATGCTGTCATAATACTGCGTGACAACTTTGTTGCGCCCTTGCAGCTGTTTGTTCAAGTTATTCAGGTGCTCTGTAACATCCACCATAAATGCAAGGTCCTGCATCCATTCTGCGGAATGAAATTCTAACACTGGTTTGCCCTTTTCTTCCATGAACTGTTCAATTTCTTCTCGTAAATCAAAGAAACGCCTCAGCACAGCACCTCGGCTTAACCATCTTACCTCAGTGTGGTATGGCAGGCCATAGATGTGGTCTTTCTCTCTGAGAAGTCTGTCAAACTGACGGTGATTCAGGCTTCTGGATCGGATGAAATTAACAGTTTGGATGACCACCTTCATGACGTTATCCATCTTTAATGACTTGCAACACAAAGCCTCCTGGTGCAAAATACAGTGAAAAGTCAAAAAATCACGTCCTCCATTTGCAGATTGCACTTTCTCTCTGAACTTTGTCACAACGCCTGCTTTTTTCCCGATCATTGAGGGCGCACCATCTGTAGCCAGGCTGACAGCGCGGGACCAGTCCACTCCGACCCTGTCCAGCGCGCCGACGAGTGCGGTAAAAATATCAGCTGCTGTCGTTGTATCTGTCATCGGCACCAACTGCACGTGCTTGACCTACTTGCTCTGCCCCGGTATAAACAGTTTGCTTGCTTAACACAATTGCTATTGCGCCATCCAGTGGACGCAATTGGAACAGCAGTTTATTTTATAGAAAAATTGCAGCGCATTTTTATACTTTACAAAATTATTCTTATTTTGATTTTTTTTATTTTTTTTATTTTTTTTCAACATCATCTCGCGGGCCGGATTAAACCCGTTAGCGGGCCTGATCCGGCCCGCGGGCCGGACGTTTGACACCCCTGTCTTAGAGTAATGATGGACTGTCGTTTCTCTTTGCTTATTTGAGCTGTTGTTGCCATAATATGGACTTGGTCTTTTACCAAATAGGGCTAACTTCTGTACAGTGAGGGAAAAAAGTATTTGATCCCCTGCTGATTTTGTACGTTTGCCCACTGACAAAGACATGATCAGTCTATAATTTTAATGGTAGGTTTATTTGAACACTGAGAGACAGAATAACAACAACAATATCCAGAAAAATGCATGTCAAAAATTTTATAAATTGATTTGCATTTTAATGAGGGAAATAAGTATTTGACCACTCTGCAAAACATGACTTAGTACTTGGTGGCAAAACCCTTGTTGGCAATCACAGAGGTCAGATGTTTCTTCTAGTTGGCCACCAGGTTTGCACACATCTCAGGAGGGATTTTGTCCCACTTCTCTTTGCAGATCTTCTCCAAGTCATTAAGGTTTCGAGGCTGACGTTTGGCAACTCGAACCTTCAGCTCCCTCCACAGATTTTCTATGGGATTAAGGTCTGGAGACTGGCTAGGCCACTCCAGGACCTTAATGTGCTTCTTCTTGAGCCACTCCTTTGTTGCCTTGGTCGTGTGTTTTGGGTCATTGTCATGCTGGAATACCCATCCACGACCCATTTTCAATGCCCTGGCTGAGGGAAGGAGGTTCTCACCCAAGATTTGACGGTACATGGCCCCGTCCATCGTCCCTTTGATGCGGTGAAGTTGTCCTGTCCCCTTAGCAGAAAAATAACCCCAAAGCATAATGTTTCCACCTCCATGTTTGACGGTGGAGATGGTGTTCTTGGGGTCATAGGCAGCATTCCTCCTCCTCCAAACATGGCGAGTTGAGTTGATGCCAAAGTGCTCCATTTGAGTCTCATCTGACCACAACACTTTCACCCAGTTCTCCTCTGAATCATTCAGATGTTCATTGCCAAACTTCAGACGGGCCTGTATATGTGCTTTCTTGAGCAGGGGGACCTTGCGGGCGCTGCAGGATTTCAGTCCTTCACGAAGTAGTGTTTTACCAATTGTTTTCTTGGTGACTATGGTCCCAGCTGCCTTGAGATCATTGACAAGATCCTCCCGTGTAGTTCTGGGCTGATTCCTCACAGTTCTCATGATCATTGCAACTCCATGAGGTGAGATCTTGCATGGAGCCCCAGGCCATGGGAGATTGACAGTTCTTTTGTGTTTCTTCCATTTGCGTATAATCGCACCAACTGTTGTCACCTTCTCACCAAGCTGCTTGGCGATGGTCTTGTAACCCATTCCAGCCTTGTGTGTAGGTCTACAATATTGTCCCTGACATCCTTGGAGAGCTCTTTGGTCTTGGCCATGGTGGAGAGTTTGGAATCTGATTGATTGATTGCTTTGATTGCTTCTGTGTGACAGGTGTCTTTTATACAGGTAACAAGCTGAGATTAGGAGCACTCCCTTTAAGAGTGTGCTCCTAATCTCAGCTCGTTACCTGTATAAAAGACACCTGGGAGCCAGAAATCTTTCTGAGTGGGCAAACGTACAAAATCAGCAGGGGATCAAATAGTTTTCCCCCTCATTGTATACCCCCCCACCTTGTCACAACACAACTGATTGGCTGAAATGCATTAAGAAGGAAAGAAATTCCACAAATTAACTTTTAAGAAAGCACACCTGTTAATTGAAATGCATTCCAGGTGACTACCACATGAAGCTGATTGAGAGAATGCCAAGAGTGTGCAAAGCTGTCATCAAGGCAAAGGGTGGCTATTTGAAGAATCTCAAATATAAAATATATTTTGATTTTTTTAACACTTTTTTGGTTACTACATGATTCCATATGTGTTATTTCATAGTTTTGATGTCTTCACTATTATTCTACAATGTAGAAAATAGTAAAAATAAAGAAAGAAAAACGCTTGAATGAGTAGGTGTTCTAAAACTTTTGACTGGTGGTGTATTTCAAATGAATATGCTAAATTCATATTTGCTGTTAGAGCTCGCTCTCTCTCTCTTTGTGTGTGTGTGAAAGCAGTACAAAGCAATACAATACAGAGCTATCCACATTCTTACAAAATTTGGAGGCGCGCAGCCTCCGCTACCGAGCTCGATTTGGACTCTGCTAGCCGTCCGAGACCCAGCAATTGCGTCACACCCACCGCTCTGAACCTCCGGATCACATTTCCAGAGCAAGCATAAAAATTTAAGAAGCCTACCTTTCTGGGCATTGAGAGAAGTCACTGTTTTTCTAACAGAGAAACATGTAATGACAAAATGAGTGCCAGCAGCCAGACTAGGCGCTCTTGAAATAAAATAAAAAGAGGTGGCCAAACGTGATTCCCTCCCTGCGCTTTGCACGTCACTCGCGGACATATCGCAACAATGGACTGTCTCCACTGGGAGGTCGCGCTGTATCATCCCGTGTCAGTCATGGATAACATTCTTTATCGTGTGAACATCGCTTCCCGGTATTGTTTTTTCCACTTGCGTTTGGTAGCCTAGAAGGTCCGGGGGAATACGACTGAAGATGCCTGGACGGAACAGGTACAATCTGGTGGACGATGTGGTGGATTCGCCGGTCCCCCTCGACAATGAAGAGGCGTACCAACACGGGATCCATTTCCAAGCGAAGGTGAAATTCACGGCTAAATATTCTATAATAAACAATTAAGGCCCTTTGATGTTTTTCCTATATAGCTTTTATTTGTCTTTCCCAATCGCGCGTCTTGAAACAATTCCGCCGTCACGTTGTTATCATTTGGTGTCCGACTTCAAAAGTCTCATTCGGTGTGGCTGAATAAACTCAACTCCATAGTGAAGAAAGTTTCTGATTAACTCTACCAATGGGAGTGAGAAACTCATCAGAAACTTTCTTCACCATGGAGTTGAGTTTAGTTGGCTACATTCGGGTTAGCCGATAGTTTTCTTTATTACATGGCTGCGTTATTAAGTTCAGGACAGTTGCAAATGTGTGGTAGCCTGAGGACATGACTTATTTCTAGTGGCTTTAGATACTTTATCAATAATTCCCCCAGCCAATAATATGCTTTCTAGTAGTAGGTTTTCTAAACCTGCAAACGTTCATATTTCCTTCCATCTCTGTAGGTCCTACTTTCACTAGAGTACTCAATATTGACTGTTCTTAAGTTGTTCTTGCTCAAACTATTGGTAATTGATTTCTCAAAACTAGGCTAAACAGAAAACACAGAACATTTTCCCATTTTGAGTATTTAAAACGCATAGAATATAACCCTAATGATATTATGATATATATATAATATAATGATATTTGAGATTATTTGAGATTAATCCTACAAGATGCTTATATAACACTAGTGTCCTATACCAGTATAATAACAGTCGAAAGTAAATAACTAGTTATATATTGCATTCAGAAAGTATTCACACCCCTTGACTTTCCCACTTTCTGTTGTGTTACAGCCTGAATTTAAAATGGATTGCATTTAGATTGTTTGTCACTGGCTTACACACAATACCCCATAATGTCAAAGGGGAATTATACTGAACAAAAATATAAATACAACATGAAAGTGTTGGTCCCATTTTTCATGAGCTGAAATAATAGATCTCAGAAAATGTCCAAGTTTCCAAATAGCTTATTTCTCTCCAATTTTGTGCACACATTTGTTTACATCCCTGTTAATGAGCATTTCTAATTTGCCAAGATAATCCATCCACCTGACAGGTGTGACATATCAATAAGCTGATTAAACAGCAGAGCTGTAGCTAGAGAATTGAATGTTAATTTCTCTACCATTAGCCACCGTTTCAGGGAAGCGCATCTGCGTTCTCGTCGTCCTCACCAGGGTCTTGACCTGACTGCAGTTTGGCGTCGTAACCGACTTCAGTGGGAAAATGCTCACCTTTGATGGCTATTGGCACGCTGGAGAAGTGTGCTCTTCACGGATGAATCCCGGTTTCAACTGTACCGGGCAGATAGCAGACAGCATGTATGACGTCGTGTGGGCAAAAGGTTTGCTGACGTCAACGTTGTGAACAGAGTGCCCCATGGTGGCCTTGGGGTTAGGGTATGGACAGGAATAAGCTACAGACAACAAACACAATTACATTTTATCGATGGCGATTTGAATACACAGAGATACCGTGACGAGCTCCTGAGGCCCATTGTCGTGCCATTCATCCACCGCCATCACCTCATTTTTCAGCATGATAAATATCCTGGAAGCTGAAAATGTCCCAGTTCTACCATGGCCTGCATACTCACCAGACATGTAACCCATTGAGCATGTTTGGGATGCTCTGGATCGACGTGTACATCGGCGTGTTCCAGTTCTTGCTAATATTCAGTAACTTCGCACAGCCATGGAGGAGGAGTGGGACAACAATCAACAGCCTGATCAACTCTATGCGAAGGAGATGTGTTGTGCTGCATGAGGCAAATGGTGGTCACACCAGATACTGACTGGCTTCTGATCCACGTCCCTACTTTTTTTTAAGGTATCTGTGACCAACAGATGCATATCTGTATTCCCAGTCATGTGAAATCCATAGATTAGGGCCTAATGAATTTATTTCAATTGACTCATTTCCTTATATGAACTGTAACTCAGTAAAATCTTTGAAATTGTTGCATGTCGCGGTTATATTTTCGCTCAGTGTATGTTTTTCATTTTTTTAAACAAATGAATTACAAAATAAAAGCTGAAATGTCTTGAGTCAATAACTATTCAACCCCTTTGTATGGCAAACCTAAATAAGTTCAGGAGTAAAAATGTACTTAACAAGTTACATAATAAGTTACATGGACTCTGTGTGCAATAATATTGTTTAACATGACTTAATGACTTAATTCTTCAAGCTCTTTCAATACATGTTAGAATCACATTTGGCAGCGATTACAGCTGTGAGTCTGTCTGGGTAAGAGCTTTCCACAGTATTGTGGAGTAACTACAATGTTGTTGATCCATCCTAAGTTTTCTCCTATCACAGCCATTAAACTCTGTAACTGTTTTAAAGTCACCATTTGCCTCATGGTGAAATCCCTGAGCGGTTTCCTTCCTCTCCGGCAACTAAGTTAGAAAGGATGCCTGTATCTTTGTAGTGACTGGGTGTATTGTTACAGCATTCAAAGTGTAATTAATAACTTCACCATGCTCAAAGGGATGTACAATGTCTGCTTTTTTATTTTACCCATCTACCAATAGGTGCCCTTCTTTGCGAGGCATTGGAAAACCTCCCTGATCTTTGTGGTTGAATCTGTGTTTGATATTCACTGCTTGACTGAGGGACCTTACAGATAATTGTATGTGTGGGGTACAGAGATGAGGTAGTAATTTTTAGTCCTGAACTTATTTAGGCTTGCCATAACAAAGGGGTTGAATACTTATTGACTCAAGACATTTCAGCTTTTCGTTTTAAATTAATTTGCAAACATTTCAAAAAACATAATTCCGTTGTGTGTAGGCCAGTGACACATTGTTTTTCTGAAGGCACTATATAGGCTTACACAATATGAGTAGGCTACATGTAATTCATGTGACTTGCGACAGCAGCCACACTTTAGATATTGTAAGAATTATTTCTGACTTATAGTTATTATTATCCTTTACAATGCTGCTCCTCTTACACCGTTTAAGCTAGAAAGGTCGTTCAGACTTCTGTCTTTTATACTTGTTAATCTATTAAAGTTGATCAACAACAAATATATATATATATGTATATATATGTATTTGCATCGATTAGCATAAAAGAACCGACCAACAGTAACTCTTGAATCATTCAAGCTAGAGACACCAAACCAATTTTCTTATGTTCAGGCTATCCTATCCACTGACACAAACATACTTTTAAAGTGCTGAAGCAAGTCACAACATTTTTGTTCATAGAAAATTACCATCTAGTTATTATTATTAGGTGGGACTTGCAAAGCAAAAGTCATGACTTAAAATCTTCGTTAGACTTATTATTATTCTCCACGCTACTCCTTAAGCTAGAAATGCCTTTCAAACTTTAAAACGTGTATAAAGGTCTGCAATAGTGTGCTATTTTAACTTTTTGATATCTTATACTTTTTAAACTATAATTTTTTCATTCACATAAAGGGAAACTTCAACATTGTTCAACTTCGTATTCATCATCGCCAGCACAACCCAAACACCGACATATGTGAAAAAGATAGCGGAAGAAAAGTGTTTCCAATGACATCATTGGTGAGCATCGTGTGATTTGAACTAATTATGAGTAGGCATTGCATACTAATTGTCTACTAATTGGTTGATGATGACAGAGCCCTCCACTACCTCTCCACAACCTTCCCCCTCTCGAAGGTACCCTGTAAGGGCTAGGTGCACGCCCACTTACCTTAATGACTTTACAGCTCCATAGTCCACACCAAACACCTTGAACGGGGACAGAGTTACAGGTCATATAAGGAAATGAGTCAATTTAAATAAATGAATTAGGCCCTAATCTATGGATTTCACATGACTGGGCAGGGGTGCAGCCATGGATGGGCCTGGGAGGGAATAGGCCCACCCACTGGGGAGCCAGGCCCAGCCAATCAGAATGAGTTTTTCCCCACAAAAGGGTTTTATTACAGACAGAAATACTCCTCAGCACCCCCGTCACCCCTCCTCAGATGATCCCGCAGGTGAAGAAGTCTCCCGAGTGGCGCAGTGGTCTAAGGCACTGCATCGCTGTGCCACTAGAGATCCTGGTTCGAATCCAGGCTCTGTCGTAGCCAGCCGCGACCGGGAGACCCATTGGGCGGCGCACAATTGGCCCAGGGTAGGGGAGGGAATGGCCGGCAGGGATGTAGCTCAGTTGGTAGAGCATGGCGTTTGCAACGCCAGGGTTGTGGGTTCAATGCCCATGGGGGGCCAGTATGAAAAATAAAAACATTATGTATGCACTCACTAACTGTAAGTCGCTCTGGATAAGAGTGTCTGCTAAATGACTAAAAATGTGAAAGAAGTCCTGGGCTGGCGTGGTTACACATGGTCTGCGGTTGTGAGGCTGGTTGGACGTACTGCCAAATTCTCTAAAACCAAATGAACATTAAATTCTCTGGCAACAGCTCTGTTGAACATTCCTGCAGTCAGCATGCCAATTGCACACTCCCTCAAAACTTGAGGCATTGTGTTGTGTGACAAAACTGCACATTTTAAAGTGGCCTTTTATTGTCCCCATCACAAGGTGCACCTGTGTAATGATCATGCTGTTTAATCAGCTTCTTCATATGTCACACCTGTCAGGTGGATGGATTATCTTGTCAAAGGAGAAATGCTCACTAACAAAATTTTTCTTGAGTTTTGTCAGAGTTTAGAGTGACCAAAAGTAGCTAACAGCTAACTGCTCTCAACAAGAAGTACAACATTACAAATCTTTTCCGGCATGTGAGATAATTAACTTGCTATCTGTAATATTGTATAGCTTTGGAATTGTGACATTAGGCACGTTTCTCGACTCATACCCTGACTTTGAGAAGGGATTGCGTGACGATTAGCTTAGAAACCTCGTGCCACAGCATGACAACGTGAACGCGACTGGTCGACAGTCTGCTAGGTGGGGCGATATACGTTCCTCCATTCATTGCCCAATGGGATTCCTCCTTTCTTTTTTTTCAATTTAAAGTTTAAAGTTTTCTTGTTTTTCAATCAACAAACAAAACACATTCCACATTCACAGATGTGGCAGACATAAATAATATAATAATAAAATATCAAACAAACACATTTGCAGCAGCACTATCTGTGATCATGTTAGCTATTTCCAGCTTTAGCTGAGACAACGAGCAAATAATTCGTTTTTACAGCACCTGTAAATATGTATATACACTCATTTCCCTAATCACCCCCCATCCCTAATCCCCCATCCCTAATCATAGTTGAGTAGTGGAGACCAGAGTCTATCAAACCTGGGCTGTCTCTTGCGGAGGTCAGTGAGCTTTTCAAGAGGAAGAAAGTCAACAATCTGGTCAATCCACATTTTAAATGTAGGTCAAGAATTAGAAGCCCACAGTAGGAGAATACATTTCTTGGCAAAGTATGTTTTATTTTTTATTTTTTTTATTTCACCTTTATTTAACCAGGTAAGCCAGTTGAGAACAGGTTCTCATTTACAACTGCGACCTGGCCAAGATAAAGCAAAGCAGTGCAATAAAAACAACACAGAGTTACATATGGGGTAAAAAACATAAAGTCAAAAATACAACAGAAAATATATATACAGTGTGTGCAAATGTAGCAAGTTATGGAGGTAAGGCAATAAATAGGCTATAGTGCAAAATAATTACAATAGTATTAACACTGGAATGCTAGATGTGCAAGAGATTATGTGCAAATAGAGATACTGGGGTGCAAAAGAGCAAAATAAATAACAATATAGGGATGAGGTAGTTGGGTGGGCTAATTTCAGATGGGCTGTGTACAGGTGCAGTGATCGGTAAGGTGCTCTGACAACTGATGCTGAAAGTTATTGAGGGAGATAAGAGTCTCCAGCTTCAGAGATTTTTGCAATTCGTTCCAGTCATTGGCAGCAGAGAACTGGAAGGAATGGCGGCCAAAGGAGGTGTTGGCTTTGGGAATGACCAGTGAGATATACCTGCTGGAGCGCAGACTACGGGTGGGTGCTGCTATGGTGACCAATGAGCTAAGATAAGGCGGGGATTTGCCTAGCAGTGATTTATAGATGGCCTGGAGCCAGTGGGTTTGACGACGAACATGTAGTGAGGACCAGCCAACAAGAGCGTACAGGTCACAGTGGTGGGTAGTGTATGGGGCTTTGGAGACAAAACGGATGGCACTGTGATAGACTACATCCAATTTGCTGAGTAGAGTGTTGGAGGCTATTTTGTAAATGACATCGCCGAAGTCAAGGATCGGTAGGATAGTCAGTTTTACGAGGGCATGTTTGGCAGCATGAGTGAAGGAGGCTTTGTTGCGAAATAGGAAGCCGATTCTAGATTTAACTTTGGATTGGAGATTCTTTATGTGAGTCTGGAAGTTGAGTTTACAGTCTAACCAGACACCTAGGTATTTGTAGTTGTCCACATACTCTAGGTCAGACCCGTCGAGAGTGGTGATTCTAGTCGGGTGGGCGGGTGCCAGCAGCGTTCGATTGAAAAGCATGCATTTAGTTTTACTAGTGTTTAAGAGCAGTTGGAGGCTACTGAAGGATTGTTGTATGGCATTGAAGCTCGTTTGGAGGTTTGTTAACACAGTGTCCAATGAAGGGCCAGATGTATACAAAATGGTGTCGTCTGCGTAGAGGTGGATCTGAGAGTCACCAGCAGCAAGAGCGACATCATTGATATACACGGAGAAAAGGTGTCGGCCCAAGAATTGAACCCTGTGGCACCCCCATAGAGACTGCCATAGGTCCAGACAACAGGCCCTCCGATTTGACACACTGAACTCTATCTGAGAAGTAGTTGGTGAACCAGGCGAGGCAGTCATTTGAGAAACCAAGGCTATTTAGTCTGCCAATAAGAATGCGGTGGTTGACAGAGTCGAAAGCCTTGGCCAGGTCGATGAAGACGGCTGCACAGTACTGTCTATTATCAATCGCGGTTATAATATCGTTTAGGACCTTGAGCGTGGCTGAAGTGCACCCATGACCAGCTCGGAAACCGGATTGCATAGCGGAGAAGGTACGGTGGGATTCGAAATGGTCGGTGATCTGTTTGTTAACTTGGCTTTCAAATACTTTCGAAAGGCAGGGCAGGATGGATATGGGTCTGTAACAGTTTGGATCTAGAGTGTCACCCCCTTTGAAGAGGGGGATGACCGCGGCAGCTTTCCAATCTCTGGGGATCTCAGACGTTATGAAAGAGAGGTTGAACAGACTAGTAATAGGGGTTGCGACAACTTCGGCGGCTAGTTTTAGAAAGAAAGGGTCCAGATTGTCTAGCCCAGCTGATTTGTAGGGGTCCAGATTTTGCAGCGCTTTCAAAACATCAGCTGTCTGAATTTGTGTGAAGGAGAAGCGGGGGGGGGCATGGGCAAGTTGCAGCAGAGGGTGCAGAGTTGGTGGCCGGGGGTAGTGGTAGCCAGATGGAAAGCATGGCCAGCTGTAGCAAAATGCTTGTTGAAATTCTCGATTATTGTAGATTTATCGGTGGTGATAGTGTTTCCTAGCCTCAGTGCAGTGGGCAGCTGGGAGGAAGTGCTCTTATTCTCCATGGACTTTACAGTGTCCCAAAACTTTTTGGAGTTAGTGCTACAGGATGCAAATTTCTGTTTGAAAAAGTTAGCCTTTGCTTTCCTGGCTGCTTGTGTATATTTGTTCCTAACTTCCCTGAAAAGTTGCATATCGCTGGGGCTATTTGATGCTAATGCTGTATGCCACAGGATGTTTTTGTGCTGGTCAAGGGCAGTCAAGTCTGAGGAGAACCAGGGGCTATATCGGTTCTTAGTTCTGTATTTTTTGAATGGGGCATGTTTATTTAAGATTGAGAGGAAATTACTTTTAAGGAACAACCAGGCATCCTCTACTGACGGAATGAGATCTATATCCATCCAGGATACCTGGGCCAGGTCAATTAGGAAGGCCTGCTCGCTAAAGTGTTTTAGGGAGCGTTTGACAGTGATGAGGGGTGGTCGTTTGACCGCGGACCCGTTACGGACGCAGGCAATAAGGCAGTGATCGCTGAGATCCTGGTTGAAGACAGCTGAGGTGTATTTAGAGGGTATGTTAGTCAGGATGATATCTATGAGGGTACCCATGTTTACGGATTTAGGGTTGTACCTGGTAGGTTCGTTGATCATTTGCATGAGGTTGAGGGCATCTAGCTTGGATTGTAGGATGGCTGGGGTATTAAGCATATCCCAATTTAGGTCACCAAGCAGTACAAACTCTGAGGATAAATGGGGGGCAATCAATTCACATATGGTGTCCAGGGCACAGCTGGGGGCTGAGGGGGGTCTGTAGCAAGCGGCAACAGTGAGAGACTTATTTCTGGATAGGTGGATTTTTAGAAGTAGAAGCTCAAACTGTTTGGGCACAGACCTGGATAGTATGATAGAGCTCTGCAGGCTATCTCTACAGTAGATTGCAACTCCACCCCCTTTGGCAGTTCTATCTAGATGGAAAATGTTATAGTTGGGGATGGAAATTTCAGAATTTTTGGTGGCCTTCCTGAGCCAGGATTCAGACACTGCTAGAACATCAGGGTTGGCAGAGTGTGCTAACGCAGTGAATAACTCAAACTTAGGAAGTAGACTTCTGATATTTATGTGCAAGAAACCAAGACTTTTGCGATTACAGAAGTCAGCAAATGATAGCGCCTGGGGAGTAGGAGTGATACTGAGGGCTGCAGGGCCTGGGTTAGCCTCTACATCACCAGAGGAACAGAGGAGGACTAGAATAAGGATACGGCTAAAGGCTTTAAGAACTGGTCTTCTAGTGCGTTGGGTACATAGAATAAAGGGGGCAGATTTCCGGGTGTTATAGAAAAGATTCAGGGCATTATGTACAGACAAGGATATGGAAGGATATGAGTAAAGTGGAGGTAAACCTAAGCGTTGGGTAACAATGAAAGAGATAGCATCGCTGGAGGCATCAATTGAGTCGGTCTCCGCGTGTATAGGGGGTGGGACAAAGGAGCTATCTAAGGCAGGTTTAGCTGGGCTGGGGGGTCTACAGTGAAATAGTACAATTAGAAATAACCGAAACAACAATAAGCTAACCATGTTTAGGCTGAGGCTAAACATAAACAGGATGTAGTACCGTAAAAAGGAACAGTCCAGCAGACATCAGCTGTATAGCTGAGTTATCATACGGTCCGGTGGTAAAGCACTAGCGAGTAAGAGGCCACGGCTAGCGTGTGCTAGCGGGCCGGGGCTAGCAGATGGAATCTTTGTGGTTAACGTCGTAACCACATCAGATGATTTCGTCGGCAGACCAGTCGTGTAGGATCGGCGGGGCTCCGTGTCAACACTAGGTGGTCCCGTCCGGTTGACAGAGAGGTAGATAGCCGGGAGATGGGCCTAGCTCAGGATTATTAGCCAGACCACAGCGTCCATTTTGTTGCAGCTAGCTGGTAGCGATGAATCCGGAGTTAAAGGTCCAGTGATTCAGTGATTCCGGCGGAAAAACGGATATGTTCTGGGTCGATAACGCGCTGTGGGGTCGATAACGCGATGTGATAGTCATAAACACATTTTCTCTGTCTGGATCAAGAAGTCCTGCTGGGCATTAAGAATATAGAGACACGGGGTCATATCAAACTGTACATCTAATATTTTCTGTGCAGCAGTATGTATAGATTGCCAAAATCTGGTAATCTCTCTACAACTCCAAAATACATGCATATAGGTTCCACTTTCAGAGTTACATCTTTTACAATCAGGAGAAATGTCTATTTATTCTATGGAGTCTCACTGGGGTGTAATAAAATGTGTAAAAAAATGTGTAATTAGATTCTTTAAATTTTACATTAGTAGAGGAGCAGGATACCCTGTCGCAAACATCCGCCCATAAATAATCACTGATAGTCAGACAAAGGTCCTTTTCCCAGATTATTTTCAAAGGAGTAAAGGAGGAAAGTCTATAGATATAGGATATTTTGTCTTTGATGGATTGTGCTGTAGCAAGAAGGGTCTCAACTTCATTCAGCTGAGCTCTAAACCTCTCCTTGGAAGTGAATGAGGAAATGACTAATTTGAAGATATTTTTTCAAGAATGGATCTAGGCACATTGAATTCACTGCAGAGCTCTTGATAGGATTTCAGTGTAGTTGTGTTCTGATGAAACAGGGCTATTGGCAAGTCTGGGTTGCATACTATTGGCGAGTGAGAGCATATTTGGGAGGAAATGCCAAGGTATTTCTTACAGTCCTTCCATGCTAGTAGGGTGCTGTAAATCACAAAGGTTTTGGCTATGTTGCCCACTTCACTAAAGTTATTAATGAATATCATTGAGCTTAGGGGCAATGAACCACAGGATGGGCCTCTATCTAAATCCACATTAGGTCTTGTCTGTTTGAGATCCATGTTAACGTGTTGCGGATTTGGGCAGACCAGTACTACAATTGAAGCCAGGGAAGGGCAAGACCACCCTTAGATTCAGGTTTCGATAGAGTGGAGAACTTGAGCCTAGGTTTTTTATTGCCCCATATAAATTTGGTGATGCTTTGATTGGTTGTTTTGAAAAAATAAACTGGGAGATAGCATGGGAGCATCTGAAATAAATAGTTCAATCTAGGGAGGATGTTCATATGGATAACATTGATTCTTCCGACTAAGCTAATTGGGAGGGAGATAATTTTCTTTGAAAAGGCAATTCAGATCTGGTGCTACAAAGATCCCAAGGTATTGAAACCCCTGTGTCTTCCATTGGAACGGGCAGAGTGTCTTCATAGAGCTGGTGAGTGTAAGATTGAGAGGGCAAACAATGGATTTGTTAAAATGTATCTTATATCCTGAAAACTTGCAGTACTGAGCAATTGTGTCTAAAATGGGAGGGAGAGATTTCTCAGGGTTGGATATGTAGAGCAAGACATCATCCGAGTAGAGCGCGAAATCTTGTGCTGAAGGCCGCCTGTAGAAACACCCATAATACTTGGATTGCTCCTTATCAACTCCGACAAAGGCTCCGCCCCCAACAAGTAGAGCAGGGGGGACAGTGAGCATCCTTGTCTTGTGCCACGTCCCAAAGGGAATCTGTCAGAATTCAGACCGTTAGTAGTCACCATGGCATTTGGTTGAGAATATAGGGACTTAATCCATTTAATAAAGTTTGGGCCCATATTGAACTTTTCTAAGACTGAGAACAGAAAGCTCCACTCCATCCTGTCGAACACCTTCTCAGCATTCAGTGAAGCCAGCAGGACAGGGGTCTTCTGTGTGTTTACTTGATCTATAATATCAAAAAGACGGTGAATGTTATCAGAAGAGTACCTGTCTCTAATAAATCCAGTTTGGTCCGCTTTTATTATTTTGGGAAGAAGAGTGTTTAGTCTTTTGGCGAGCAATTTGGTAATTCTTTTGTAGTTGAAATCCAACAAGCTTATGGGCTGGAAGGACGAGTAGGATAGAGGGTCCTTGTCTTTTGTGAGCAACACTGTAATGCGGGCTGTGTACATAGAGTGTGGGAGAGCTCCGCCGCCTGTAGGACTCGTTCCTTGTTGGTGAAAGTAGGTTGATTGATTAATAGATTGATTGATTGGTCGGTTGATAGGATAGGATAGGCTGCACATGTGAAAGTTGGTTTGATGTCTCTAGCTTGAACAGTTCAAGAGTTACAATTATTGTTGGTGGGTATGATATGCTAATTTATGCACATTTAAGTAGTTATAATTTACAGTGCATTCGGAAAGTATTCAGATCCCTTGACTTTTTCCATATTTTGGCTGTCCCTGAGGCAGAGCTTGAACCCATGGAGGTAGGGGCACACACCTCTCTCAGGCAGAGCGGCGTCGCCGGAGACTGCTGGGGCTCTGTCCCTATTGCGGCCAGGAGGGGCACCAGCTTCAGCGTTGTCCGGTGCATTCCAACCTGGAGTCCACTATGGCAGAGGGTCGGCCCTGTGATCTTCCATATCCCAGGGTAGGCGTGAGTATTCCATCATCATTGTTTTCCACCAAACCCTTTCTGGTTCCCATTTCACTGGCTGGCTGGCCCTCAGGTGTTGTCTCTACAGCTCTAGTGGACTCCGGTACCGCGGGGAATTTCATCGACCAGGCCCTCGCTTCCTCCCTGAACATAAATTCGTACCCGCTCTCCTCTCCTTTTCCGGTCCACTGGATAAGCAACTATTGAGATCCGGCACAATCACGCACATCACAGCACCACTCACCCTCACCGTGGGACCCATGCACCAGGAAAGCCTTCCCTTCCTCATAATCACTGCACCCGTGGCTCCAATGTCATAACCCCCCCATCTCCTGGTCGAGGATGAAAATCACCACCTGGGGACCAGGATGCCGGAAGACCTGCTTTCCCGTACCCTGTGGTTCCACAGCGGTTGAGAGTCCTGTAAGTGCCCTCCAGCCCATCAATCGGTCCTCCCGTATCATTGGCCCCGTGTTTTGGGACGTAGATGTGGACATCCGCCAGGCTCTGGAGAGGGAACCTGCTCCTGCTACCTGCCCTCCAGAATGCATCTACGTCCCCACGGGGTAAGAGATCAGCTGTTGACCTGGGCACACACATGCCTCGCCGCTGGACAGCCCAGGTATCACCATCACTATCCAATCCCTCTACGATAAGTACTGGTGGCCCACCTTGGCGCAGGACGTCGCCCACTATGTCAACTCCTGCTCCATATGTGCCCAAACTAAATCCCCCCAACACGCTCCAGAAGGGAAACTACTTCCCCTTCCCATGCCTCAGCGGCCTTGGTCCCATCTGTCCATAGACTTCGTTACTGATCTCCCCCCGTCTAATGGTTTCACCACTGTTATGGTTGTTGTGGACAGATTCTCCAAATCCTGCCATTTTATCCCTCTCTCTGATCTCCCTACCGCTCTCCAGGTCGCTGAGGCACTGTTCCAGCAGGTCTTCCGGCACTATGGCTTCTAGTGGACATAGTCTCCGTGGCCCCCAATTCACGTCGCGGGTATGGAGAGCCTTCATGGAGGTGCTGGGGGCCTCAGTCCAATGGGCAGGTGGTGAGGACTAACCAGGAGCTGGGGAGGTTCCTAAGGAGTCACTGCTAGGACCGACTGGGGGAGTGGGCCCAGTTCCTTCCCTGGGCGGAGTACGCCCAGAACTCACTTCTTCACTCCTCCACCGGGCTGACTCCCTTCCAGTGCATCCTGGGATATCAGCCGGCACTGGCTCCATGGACTCCGAGCCAGACCGAGGCCCCTACAGTGGACACAGTCTGCTTTCAGAAGGATCAGGCGGACCCCCACCACAGTGAGGCTCCCGTGTTCCATCCTGGTGATCACGTCTGGCTCTCCACCAGGAACCTCCCTCTCCGCCTGCCCTGCCAGAAGCTGAGCCCCCGGTTTGTGGGGCCCTTCAAGGTCCGCCGGAGGGTCAATGATGTAACTTACCGTTTACAACTCCCCACCAACTACCGGATCTCACCCTCTTTTCATGTTTCCCTCCTCAGGCCGGTGGTTCCTGGTCCCCTGGCTGATGCCATCCCCCGTAGACACTCCTCCGCCTCCCCTGGACATCCATGGGACCCCTGCCTATGCCGTCAGGTCCCTACTTGGCTCCCGACGTTGTAGGGGTCGGTTTCAGTACCTGGTGGACTGGGAGGGGTATGGCCCAGAAGGAGCGCTGTTGGGTTCCGGTGGCCAACATCCTGGACCCAACATTGTGTTGACCTGCGTCTGCGTCGTCCTGCGTCTGTAACCGTGCGTCGGGGTGATGTTCCCCATCATTACGCACACCTGGACTTCCTCATCACCTAGATTACCTTCCCTTTATTTAGCCCTCAGTAGCCTCAGTCATCAGGCAGTATTGGTATGTTTTCATGTTCAGTACACATCCCCTGTTTTGTTCATTTACCTTGCATCATTGTTATTAAACTCTCCTTTTGCACATGATTCCTGACTCCCTGCGTATACGTGACACAGCCACTGTGGCAGCCCTATTTGGGAAAAGACCAAGTCCATATTATGGCAAGAACAGCTCAAATAAGCAAAGAGAAACGACAGTCCATCATTACTTTAAGACATGAAGGTCAGTCAAAATGGAACATTTCAAGAACTTTGAAAGTTTCTTCAAGTGCAGTCGCAAAAACCATCAAGTGCTATGATGAAACTGGCTCTCATGAGGACCGCCACACGAATGGAAAACCCAGAGTTACCTCTGCTGCAGATGGTAAGTTTATTAGAGTTACCAGCCTCAGAAATTGCAGCCCAAATAAATGCTTCACAGAGTTCAAGTAACAGACACATCTCAATATCAACTGTTCAGAGAAGACTGTGTGAATCAGGCCTTCATGGTCGAATTGCTGCAAAGAAACCACTCCTAAAGGACACCAATAAGAAGAAGAAACCTGCTTGGGCCAAGACACATGAGCAATGGACATTAGACCAGTGAAAATGTGTCCTTTGGTCTGGAGTCCAAAATTGAGATTTTTGGTTCCAACGCTGTGTCTTTGTGAGAAGCGGTGTGGGTGAACAGATGATCTCCGCATGTGTAGTTTCCCACCTTAAAGCATGGAGGAGGAGGTATTATGGTGTGGGAGAGCTTTGCTGGTGACACTGTCTGTGATTTATTTAGAATTTAAGGCACACTTAACCAGCATGGCTACTACAGCATTCTGCAGCGATACGCCATCCAATCTGGTCGGGCTTAGTGGGACTATCATTTGTTTTTCAACAGGACAATGAACCAACACACCTTCAGGGCTATTTTACCAAGAAGGAGAGTGATGGAGTGCTGCATCAGATGACCTGGCCTCCACAATCCCCGACCTCAACCCAATTGAGATGATTTGGGATGAGTCGGACGGCAGGGTGAAGGAAAAGCAGCCAAAATGTGCTCAGCATATGTGGGAACACCTTCAAGACTGTTGGAAAACCATTCCAGGTGAAGCTGGGTAAGAGAATGCCAAGAGTGTGCAAAGCTGTCATCAAGGCAAAGAGTGGCTATTTGAAGAATCTCAAATATAAAATATGTTTGGATTTGTTTAACACTTTTTTGGTTACTACATGATTCCATATGTGTTATTTCATAGTTTTGAAGTCTTCACTATTATTCTACAACGTAGAAAATAGTACAAATAAAGAAAACCCCTTGAATGAGTAGCTGTGTCCAAACTTTTGACTGGTACTGCAGATACAATAGTAAAAACGGTTCTACAACTGAACATCAAGAATTAACAAAGTGCCTCACAAACAGTGCAATAATATTAAGCTATATGTATTTGTATTTACAGTAGGCTATAGCCTACAAATAGCTATACCATGTAGTCGTATGGTATGAGGCTGTAAGGCGTACTGCAAGGCTATAGACCTACTGCAAATTATTATTGTTTGTTCCTTAACTGGCCGAATGACAGAGCTATCCTTGAACTATCCTTCAGCACCACAAGTTGGTTCAACTTCTTTAATTAACATCATTGCGTGATCCTGGCGCTGTCCTTTCAATCCTTTCACTTAAAATTACATTTAATCAAGATCTCTTGCCTACGCCTATAATAGTCATACTCGTCACTTATTATTATTATTATTATTACAAATAAAAGATTATCACTTCTCACAATGGTGCTCATTTAGTAAAGTTAGATCAAAGCTGAATCAACGTCTGTCAAGATCACAATTATTAATTAGCATGTTACATAGGTGGTCCTCTGTAGCTCAGCTGGTAGAGCACGGCGCTTGTAACACCAAGGTAGTGGGTTTGATCCCTGGGACCACCCATACACAAAAAAAAATGTATGCACGCATGACTGTAAGTCGCTTTGGATAAAAGCGTCTGCTAAATGGCATATTATATTATTTATTATTACATAACAGAGCCAAATATAATACCATACCATAATAGGCCTATAATGCGTTACTGCTACACCAAAAACACCTTCTCATTTCTAATGAGATTTTTGGATGGATAGCTGAAGCTGAATAGTAAAACAAATTAAAATAATCTCATGCGTCAAATCTCAGAGCGCACCACTAGGCAGGATATATGCTTTCATTGAAACAAAATACAAGAAAGGCTAATACACTGCTCAAAAAAATAAAGGGAACACTTAAACAACACAAACTGTCCACTTAGGAAGCAACACTGATTGACAATAAATTTCACATGCTGTTGTGCAAATGGAATAGACAACAGGTGGAAATTATAGGCAATTAGCAAGACACCCCCAATAAAGAAGTGGTTCTGCAGGTGGTGACCACAGACCACTTCTCCGTTCCTATGCTTCCTGGCTGATGTTTTGGTCACTTTTGAATGCTGGCGGTGCTTTCACTCTAGTGGTAGCATGAGACGGAGTCTACAACCCACACAAGTGGCTCAGGTAGTGCAGCTCATCCAGGATGGCACATAATAATAATAATAATATGCCACTTAGCAGACGCTTTTATCCAAAGCGACTTACAGTCATGCGTGCATACATTTTTGTGTATGGGTGGTCCCGGGGATCAAACCCACTACCCTGGCGTTACAAGCGCCGTGCTCTACCAGCTGAGCTACAGAGGACCACTAAGCTGCGAGCTGTGGCAAGAAGGTTTGCTGTGTCTGTCAACGTAGTGTCCAGAGCATGGAGGCGCTACCAGGAGACAGGCCAGTACATCAGGAGACGTGGAGGAGGCCGTAGGAGGGCAACAACCCAGCAGCAGGACCGCTACCTCTGCGTTTGTGCAAGGAGGAGCAGGAGGAGCACTGCCAGAGCCCTGCAAAATGACCTCCAACAGGCCACAAATGTGGATGTGTCTGCTCAAACGGTCAGAAACAGACTCCATGAGGGTGGTATGAGGACCCGACGTCCACAGGTGGGGGTTGTGCTTTCAGCCCAACACCGTGCAGGACGTTTGGCATTTGCCAGAGAACACCAAGATTGGCAAATTTGCCACTGGTGCCCTGTGCTCTTCACAGATGAAAGCAGGTTCACACTGAGCACATGTGACAGACGTGACAGAGTCTGGAGACGCCGTGGAGAACATTCTGCTGCCTGCAACATCCTCCAGCATGACCGGTTTGGCGGTGGGTCAGTCATGGTGTGGGGTGGCATTTCTTTGGGGGGCCGCACAGTCCTCCATGTGCTCGCCAGAGGTAGCCTGACTGCCATTAGGTACCGAGATGAGATCCTCAGACCCCTTGTGAGACCATATGCTGGTGCGGTTGGCCCTGGGTTCCTCCTAATGCAAGACAATGCTAGACCTCATGTGGCTGGAGTGTGTCAGCAGTTCCTGCAAGAGGAAGGCATGATACTATGGACTGGCCCGCCCGTTCCTCCAGACCCAATGAATCCAATTGAGGCACATCTGGGACATCATGTCTCGCCCATCCACCAAGCCACGTTGCACCACAGACTGTCCAGGATTGCGGATGCTTTAGTCCAGGTCTGGGAGGAGAATCCCTCAGGAGACCATCATCGCCACCTCATCAGGAGCATGCCCAGGCGTTGTAGGAGGTCATACAGGCACGGAGGCCACACCACTACTGAGCTCATTTTGACTTGTTTTAAGGACATTACATCAAGTTGGATCAGCTGTTAGTGGTTTCCACTTTAATTTGAGGGTGACTCCAATCAGACCTCCATGGGTTGATATTTGATGTCCATTGATCATCTTTGTGTGATTTGTTGTCAGCACATTCAACTATGTAAGAAAAAGTATTTAATAAGATTATTTCATTCATTCAGATCTAGGATGTGTTGTTTAAGTGTTCCCTTTTTTTTTAACAGTGTAGTTTGTTAACACCATCTTCTCTAATCCGCTCATGAAACAGTAATTCTAGAAGATCTAAATGCATATTCCCATGAAACTGATTGAGATCAATGAAATGATTGGCATGGAGCAACACATGGAGATGCAGTTTGAACGTTTCACTGGTTAAACATAAAGAATTATAATTCACGATTGACAGTGATGATGGCCTATTTTGAAATTAGGTAGCCAATGCCTAACTTGGTGTTTGAGAGGATTAAACATTTTTTTTTTTCTTTAGACAATAGCCTGTGTGTGGGTATAGACAGACGTTGCAATTGGAGGATGCATTTTTCTATGAATATTCTATAATGATAGGCTATTAAATTGGCTACATCTGTCGGTACAAACTTTGATTGAGGAAATGATGTCATTTTAAAACAACATTTGCGCTCCCTCACCCAAAAGAAATAGCACTACATCATTGGTTACATGGCTTATTTATTATTATTATAGTTCAGGGCTCTACACTGACATTTTTTACAAGGAGTACATGATGTGTTCCTAAGTAGAAATGTAGAAGCACACAAATAAATCTGGGAGAACAATTAAAGTATTTAAGTGTTTTAATGATATGTAAAGTTTTTAAGAGGGATCCATGCCCAATCAAGCACAATCATTAGGTGAGACAAAAATATTCAGCTGCCCCTTTAAGGGACGGGCTGTTACCGTGGTAACTTGGGCACTCGCTTGTCTGTGATGAAAAAATATCTTAGACTGCGTAGACTTCCTAGCAGCAGACATTTGCATCAAACTCTAATTAAGATTGAAAAACAAGACTGGTCTCTTTTATACTTTTTAAAAGTATTAAACTTGAGATTCTAAAGGTCCAATTGTGACATCATCACTCCCAACATTCTATTATATTTACTGTAAATCATGTAACTTGACACAAATCAGCTACTTTGACCGCTTTCCCAAATACTTAGACAAAAAGTTATAGGGTATGAACTCTTCCTCTAGTTCTCAGCTATTCAAATCTGAAGCCGGACCAAAAATATATTACCGATCCGGTGATACAGCTGTTTTAGTAACCGCATTAATACTTTTTCCAAACAACTGCATTTTTGACCCATTTCCCAGCACTTTAGACACAAAGAGGATATGACATCTTGGTCTACTTCTCTGCTATTCAAGTCTGGTATCAGAACAGAATTATCTGCTACCAATCAAAAGTTACAGCTGTTTGTCGGAGTGTAGAGTGATGAAAAGTAGATAGCTAACATCAGCTAACAGCTCTCTCATGTCTCGTCATTGAGCAGCCAAAATGGAGCCGTTGCTATTGATACCAATGCATTTCAATGGCAAAAAAGTATCTCCTCACCGTTTACGCTATCAACTCCAAACCAACATTTAGATGTTCAGACTGACCCTACTTAGATTTCTTGTCAAATGATTTTTGATACTACATATACTTTTTGAAATATAACCATTAAAAATGTGCATAAATTAAACATGAGTTTGAATGAGAACCATAGAAATACAGAGATAGCTATTCCAAATGGTCCTGCTCCTTGTTCAATTAAGCTACAAGACGATCTTTAAAACATTCAGGATATCCTAACTTCAAATATATAAATATATAAATTAGCATACATTTGCATAAAATAACTCACCAACAGTAACTCTTGAACTGTTCAAGCTAGAGACACCAAACCAACTTCCACATGTTCAGGCTATCCTATCCACTGCCACAAAAAAATGTTTTTAAAGAGCTGAAGCAAGTCACACAATTTTTCTTCAAGGACAATTACCATCTAGTTATTGGTTGCAATCGGCTACTAGGCTATGCATAACCATGTAGGCTACTTACACAGGATAATTACAACAGGGGTCGCATTAGCTTTCAAAAATATGCATTTTCGAAACACAGACCATCATAAAATCTGCGTTTTAAACCATTTCACCTGTGTTTTATATTGAAAGTCAGTGTTTTATTTGCTTCAATAGAGTGATAAGGGGCGTGCAACTATAGTTTTTCTTCACACAAAGTCTACAGTAAATCATTTAATCAGATGACTACAGAATTGCAATGCTATTTGGCTAGCAGCCACACATAAGTACATTAGCTTACAATGAAAAAGTAAGGTCTTTCTTGCAAAACGATGCACGGCCATCATATTTCTAATGTTTATGATATAAATAATGTTTTGCTTGAAGTTAATCTTGCATTTTAACCGGCTACTGGAGAAGAACTACACCTGAGGAAAGTACCAGACAAAAGTAGCCTACACATCAGTCAGAGCGCTGTCTGGTGATCCAATGATGAGAGCAAAGATATTTCATCCAAGTAGAGAAGTGCAACTGAACAGCCTAATCTTATAGACTAGATGTAACATAGTAAACGTACATCTGGAACACTCCAATTAGTATGATATGTTACGTTTTGGTATGGTTACATAAGACAGAAGGTTATTTAAGGCAAAAACGAAAGTAGGGTGGTTGGTCGGGCGTATCACTCGAACGTCTACCAACCCAACTTTAGCATTTTAGCTAATTAGCAACTACGTAGCATGTTAGCAAACCCTTTAACCTAACTCCTAACCCTAACCTTAACCCTAACCCTAAACCCTAGCCTAGCTAACATTAGCCACCTAGCTAACGATAGCAACAACAAATTGGAATTGGTAACATATTATACGTTTTTCAAATTCATAACATATTGTAGGAATTGCATTCGTAACATATTGTACGAATTGCAATTCGTAACATATCATACCAATTGCAATTTAGAACATATTATATGAATTGTAATTCGTAACATATACTAAGAAATAGATGACGGACATCCACAAATTAATACATACCATACGAAATGTAACATATCATACTAATTGGAGTCCCAGATTTGTGTTTACTATGTTACGCCTGCCCCCAAGTCCAGGTTTAACTGAAGCACAAAATGAGCCCTTTTACATTCATGATTTGGAGCGAACCCTAAGCCAAGCAAAATGTACAATAAGAAGCATTTTAGATCTGCGTTTACAAAACATATCTTTTCTGCATTTTAACTTTCCTTTTCTGCGTGAAAAATGCAGAATCCTGCGTTAACGTGACCCCTTTTAAAGGGAGAGGTGTCATGCATTTTATAGTATTGTTCTCAATAGCCTAGTGTTGTTGTGTTTTGTTGCATCTATAACTGTACTGTATGTTGAGTGTCTTGTGCTATCTATAACTTTGTTCCTATGTCTTTTGTATTGCTATCTATAACATGTATCTTGTGTGTGTTGTTCTTTTTCTAACTTTGTGTGTTTTGTGCAGTATGTGGGCAGTCTGGACGTTCCCAGGCCCAACAGTCGTATGGAGATCGTAGCAGCTATGAGAAGGATCAGGGTAAGACCTCATACACATCATGACAAAACGGTTGGACGCTAAATCTGGCGAGACCTAGGACTAGGGCTGTTACGGTGACCATATTACCGCCACACCGGCGGTCACGAGTCATGACCGCAGTCAAATTCCATGTGACCGTTTGTCATGGTAACTAGGCTTCTCCAAGCTATGATGCTGCTGATGGTCATTAGTAGCCTACCAAACGTGCTAACTGCCTGGTACTCAGCAATCTATTGTCCCTCTAATCACTCTGACATCAATGCACATTTTTTCGAAAATCTAATAAAACACTTCATGAGAGCCCATGAGCTCATGTTGCGCAACATTTCTATAGGCTATGCAATTGCGTGAAAAAACAGAATTTTGATGGCCACTATTAAAAAGAGGATCCCATCAGCTTTCTATAGGCTAGGCCTACTATATTTATTTATCCATCAACTTTCCTAATTTTAAGCACATTGCTTCACTTTACAACAGGAGTATAGCCTACCTGGCTGGCATGAAAATGAACCAAGGGAAAAGTGTCCTCCATTCGCTATTTAAGTGCATAGACATTTACATTACATTTTAGTCATTTAGCAGACACTCTTATCCAAAGCGACTTACAGTTAGTGAGTGCATACATTTCCATACTGGCCCCCCGTGGGAAACGAACCCACAACCCTGGCGTTGCAAGCGCCATGCTCTACCAACTGAGCTACAGGGGACCCACATGTATTTTTCCCCCCATGCCCCTGTTCCTAGGTGCATGATAATAGTCCATTCTAAACCAAAACTAATTTCACACATATATTATTTAATATATGTAAAGACTACATTAAATTAAGAATAGTCTGATGGGTGACAATATTAGCCTATCACTTGTGAATTATGTATTATCACTTGTGAATGATGTATTATCACTTGTGAATGATATATTATCCCTTGTGAATGATGCCCAGCTTAAGGCAAGAAACTACTTTTTCAAATCATAGTCGCACACCTCATGTAACCTAGCCCATAGGCCTATATGTTTTGATAAGGTTTGTATCACAACTAAAGTGGCCAAATAACTTCTTAAAATGAAGCACATTAATCCGCTTTACAAGGGGTTTAGAGCCTAACTGGCATACATAAGCAGCGCGTTAGTTTCAAGTTTGGGGAAGATAATTTTCACCATAAAAATGCACCTTTATAATAAAAGCATTACATGTATAATCGCATTTGCAGTCACTTTTGAGAACAATTGATTGCATTTTGCAACATTCGCGCTTATAGCCTACTGCTGTGTGCACATTGCTGCGCTTATAATGTGAATAAATAGCTTAATAGTTTATTAACATTTTAAGCTAAACGTTCTGATCTGTTGCATCAGCCTCATTGCTTTTAAACGTTTTTTTGATGCAAGTGGTTGTATAAATGTGGGATCTACCGCATCCCACAACTGTACCAGCGTATGTTCTGAATATGTACAGTGCATTCGGAAAGTATTCAGACCGTTTGACTTTTTCCACATTTTGTTACGTTACAGCCTTATTCTAAAATGGATTACTTGTCTAAATAAGGTCCCACAGTTGACAGTGCATGTCAGAGCAAAAACCAAATCTGGGGAAGGGTACCAAAACATTTCTGCAGCATTGAAGGTCCCCAAGAACACAGTGGCCTCCATCATTCTTAAATGGAAGAAGTTTGGAACCACCAAGACTCTTCCTAGAGCTGGCCGCCCAGCCAAACTCGGGCGGAGAAGGGCCTTGGTCAGGGAGGTGACCAAGAACCCGATGGCCTCCTGTAGCTCAGTTGGTAGAGCATGGCGCTTGCAACGCCAGGGTTGTGGGTTCGATTCCCACGGGGGTCCAGTATGAAAGATGTATGCACTCACTAACTGTAAGTTGCTCTGGATAAGAGCGTCTGCTAAACGACTAAAATGTAAATGTAATATGTTTAACAGAGTTCCAGAGTTCCTCTGTGGAGAGGGGAGAACCTTCCAGAAGGACAGCCATCTCTGCAGCACTCCACCAATCAGGCCTTTATGGTAGTGGCCAAACGGAAGCCACTCATCAGTAAAAGGCACATGACAGCCCGCTTGGAGTTTGCCTAAAGGACTCTCAGACCATGAAAAACAAGATTCTCTGGTCTGATGAAACCAAGATTCAACTCTCTGGCCTGAATGCCAAGCGTCAGGTCTGGAGGAAACCTGGCACCATCCCTACGGTGAAGCATGGTGGTGGCAGCATCATGCTGTGGGGATGTTTTTCAGTGGCAGGGACTGGGAGACTAGTCAGGATTGAGGGAAAGATGAACGGAGCAAAGTACAGAGAGATCCTTGATGAAAACCTGCTCCAGAGCTCTCAGTACCTCAGACTGGAGGCGAAGGTTTACTTTCGAACAGGACAACAACCCTAAGCACACAGCCAAGACAACGCAGGAGTGGCTTCGGGACAAGTCTCTGAATGTCCTTGAGTGGCCCAGCCAAAGCCCGGACGTGAACCTGATCGAACATCTCTGGAGAGACCTGAAAATAGCTGTGCAGCAACGCTCCCATCCAACCTGACAGAGCTTGAGAGGATCTGCAGAGAAGAATGGGAGAAACTCCCCAAATACAGGTGTGCCAAGCTTGTAGAGTCATACCCAAGAAGACTCAAGGCTGTAATCGCTGACAAAGGTGCTTCAACAAAGTACTGACTAAAGGGTCTGAATACTTATGTAAATGTCATATTTTTTAAATATATTTTTTTATACATTTGTAAACATTTCTAAAAACCTGTTTTCGCTTTGTCATTATGGGGTATAGTGTGCGTAGATTGATGAGGGGGAAAAAAACGATGTGATCAATTTTAAAATAAAGCTGTAACGTAACAAAATGTGGAAAAAGTCAAGGGGTCTGGATACTTTCCTAATGCACTGTATTTCTTGCACAGAAGGACAAGTTGACCAATTGAATAGGTCAACTTTTGTACCATGGGGGATAGTAGATTGACATAGGTTAATGCTTTTGCTGTTCGTTAAGCCTACTCATCTTGTTGGCTGACGAAAAGCTGGCTAAACGTGTTAGGCCTACTCATCTTGTTGGCTGACGAAAAGCTGGCTAAACGTGGACAGTTTTTCTGACATCTTCAATATGCGCCTCAGAATTCAATGTGAGGGACGCGCAAAGTTGCATTCCCGATGTGTCTGTCTTCACTTGTAGCCTATTTCTTAGCTGTGAGAAGGACCTGATCATGTGACAGGTATTGGCTAATAAGAATTGAGATATCTGAGAGAGCCATGTGAGTGAGAGATGCGTCAGAGCACGGCAGCCAGGGGGGAAGGGAATTATAATGATTATATTCAGCCCAAGGGCACAACGGCCACTTTGGCCGCAAAAGGCATGGATATTTTACGGGGCATTACGGCCACACAAGGGGGATGCCGCCAGAAAATGTGAGGCCTGGTGAGAATATTATCAAGAGAGACTGATGAAGTGTGTGCAGCCTGCACAAGAAACAAATCAGAGCTCTTGCCTTTCATGCAACTTTTTTCAAATCATTATTAGAGTTGCATCATGCAGCCTTAGAATGTATTAAAAATCAAAAAACATATAGCCCAACGTTTGTATCACATTATTTATTTATTTACAACTAAAGTTGCATGAATAACTCTAAATTAAGCATATAGGAGGACCTGTTTCTTTGTTAACCGCTCAACAGAGAATAGCCGCATGGGCGCACTTCCCTGGAAATCGTTTGGAGAAAATATCCTTTCTATTTTATTCAGCTTTGTTCAATTGTATTCTTCATACTATAAAATACTATAAAACAATGCCACGGAATTCTAAGCAAATCTTGTCTGCTGAATGAACTAGTGTAGCCCACAGCCATGGCAAGCCATATAAGGGCCTAACAAAAGGAGTATGCTATTCTGTTCTTCTGAAATAGACTACATTTTCTTAATATCATGTTTCCTAAGACCTGTCTTAAATAAATAATGGATTTATTGTGATGTGTAGGCTATATTAAATTGATTTATTCAACTGTACGCTATGCTTGGAAGCCAGGAGATGCTAAATGTGTTTATGTTAATTAACGGTCAGTTACCGTGAGACTGGCAGTTATTTGCTTGGCAATCACCGGCTGACAACATTTCATGACTGCCACAGCCCTACCTAGGACCATAAAAAAACGGCTAGCTGGAGCTCGTCTGAACAATTGGCTGGATATGCCCTCACACGCTATATACTTAATGCTGATTGGTTCTGCTACTGTCCACTATTGTGCTGTCCGGTTAGAACATAATGTTGAGGCCCATTACTGTAACTTGGTCACCACCACACACGCGCGGACAGCACATTTGAAGATGTTTTATCTGATTGTGGTTCTAAAATGGAAACAGATACAATCATGAGGATCCATTTCTAAGAAACTAAGACATTAATATACAGCATGCAATAATAATAATAATAATAATAATAATAATAATAGAGATGTGTGAACATGGTATATTTACATGCTAAAGTGTGCAATAATATTACACAGAGTACAGGCACATCTACACATACTGACACATGATATTTACAGTGCCTTTTCCACATTTTGATGTTGTGTTACAGCCTGAATTTAAAATGGATTAAATTGAGATGTTGTGTCACTGGCCTTCACACAATACACCATCATGTCAAAGTGGAATGATGTTTTTACACATTTTTACAAATTAATATGTGTAAAAACATCGTTCCACTTTGACATGATGGTGTATTGTGTGAAGGCCAGTGACACAACATCTCAATTTAATCCATTTTAAATTCAGGCTGTAAGACAACATCAAAATGTGGAGCTGAAAAGCTGAAATGTCTTGAGTCAGTTGTAATCAATAATGAGGAGAGACTAGGTCAATCACCAATCAGAATATTAACTTTATTAAAAACGTATCGATAAGGGAGCTGGTCACAATACCCACACAGAAGTGAATAGAGTGAGAGCCCACTGAGTGGAGTGAGCCTCCGGGTTATATACCATCTCAGGATAGGTGCAACCTCAGAGATAACATACAATGGTTCCAGACACTAACCCCACACTTCCTGTGCCAGACCGTAGCCCCAAATACAAAGAACTCATTGTTTTGTTCAGTACTAAGAATTTAGAAGGACATTTGTTGTTACTTAGTTTCCACCTTGCTAGTAAGGTAACCAGGGGAGAGAGCTATCTCCCAAGGCCAAAGGAGGGGGTGACTGACACACACACATTTTGGAGACATGTGATTTATTCCCATTCCTCATGCCATCCCTTCACATGGTTTGAAATAGGAAAGATGCACCTTTCAGCAGGACAATAACCTAAAACACAAGGCCAAATATACACTGGAGTTGCTAACAAAGACAACATTGAATGTTCTTGAGTGGCCTAGTTGCAGTTTTGACTTAAAATCGGCTTGAAAATCTATGGCAAGACTTGAAAATGGCTGTATAGCTATGATCAACAACCAATTTGACAGAGAGGATTTTTTTAAAGAATACTGTGCAAATATTGTGCAATCCAGGTGTGCAAAGCTCTTAGAGACTCACCCAGAAAGACTCACAACTGCCAAAAGTGATTCTAACATGTATTGACTCAGGGGTGTGAATACTTATGTAAATGAGATATTTCTGTATTTAAATTTCAATACCTTTGCTAACATTTCTAAAAACCTGATTTCACTTTATCATTATGGGGTATTGTGTGTAGATGGGTGAGAATTTTTATTTATTTAATCCATTTTTAATTTAGGCTGTAAGACAACAAAATGTGGAATAAGTCAAGGGGTATGAGTACTGTACTTTCAGAAGGCACTGTACATACTGCCAAATAAAGAGAGAAAGTAGCAGGCACCGGGTTTTATATTATATTTATTTTTATAGCCTTTTCTCTGGCCTGGCGAGGGCTTGAGCTTATCTAAGGACTGGCAACGGCGCATGCGCTGGGACTTAAAGAGCTAGATGGCACTGTAAACATCTAGAAACTGTACAATGGCGCCAGCAACCACACCTATATTTGAGGCTGTATATCTTGCAGTGGTAGCATGCAAGTAAATACACATCGCTAGTACACAAAATGGTTGTTGCGCTCAGCACCATTACTAATTAACATGCAATGGGTACATGCACAAACAATTCTAGCGTTAGCTGGACGCTAGCAAACAACACTGCAAACGTACATCTACAAACATATCTTACAAACTTAGCACAGGGTAGGTGTAACACTATCAATCATTAACTCCGATATCCCCCAGATAATAGGGCCGCAGGGAGCCTAGCGGTTAAGAGCGTTGGGCCAGTAACCGGAAGGTCGCAGGTGAAAAATCTGTCGACGTTCCCTTGAGCATGGCACTTAACCCTAGTCGCTCTGGATAAGAGTGTCTGCTAAATGACTAAAAATGTTATATCCCCAAACTTGCATTACAATGGACTCACAACACTTCATAGAAAGGCAGAATTTGAAAAGTCAGTCAGCGTCAAACACTTTCTCAAGACAGCAAAACACGCTCTAACGTAAGGTGTGTGAGGGCAGAGCCCTGGAGTGTATCCAAGCGCCCTGATTAGTTGGGATGATTGATAGGTTTGAAGGCCAGTCATTTTGAGAGGGACGGCATTTTTTTTTTACACATCATAAACATGGGTCCCGTGCAGAGTATGTGAGTGGAGTCAGAGAGGAAGAGAGAGGCCCAACTTGCCGGAAAATCTGTCTCCCTCTGGCAGGTGGTGTACTTTCATTGTTTCGCACACCAAGCAAGGAGTTTTTGTATGGAGGTCAATGAGAGAGTGTTGAATTTGGTCAACAAAAAAATAAATAAAAGCTGAAAGAAATCATTCTCTCTACTATTATTCTGACATTTCACATTCTTAAAATAAAGTGGTGATCCTAACTGACCTAAGACAGGAACATTTTACTAGGATTAAATGTCAGGAATTGGGAAAAACTGAGTTTAAATGTATTTGGCTAAGGTGTATGTAAACTTCCGACTTCAACTGTACCTTTTAAAAAAGTAGGGGCGTGGATCAGAAAACCAGTCAGTATCAGTGACCACCATTTGCCTCATGCAGCGCGACACATCTCCTTCGAATAGAGTTATCAAGCTTTGAGATTCTTCAAAGTAGCCACCCTTTGCCTTGATGACAGCTTTGCATACTCTTGGCAATCTCTCAACCAGCTTCATGAGGTAGTCACCTGGAATGCATTTCAATTAACAGGTGTGCCTTGTTAAAAGTTAATTTGTGGACTTTCTTTCCTTCTTAATGCGTTTGAGGAAATCAGTTGTGTTGTGACAAGGTAGGGGTGGTATACAGAAGATAGTGCTATTTGGTAAAAGACCAAGTCCATATTATGGCAAGAACAGCTCAAATAAGCAAAGAGAAACGATAGTCTGTCATTACTTTAAGACATGCAGGTCAGTCAATCCGGAAAATGTCAAGAACTTTGAACGTTTCTTCAAGTGCAGTCGTAAAAACCATCAAGCGCTATGATGAAACTGGCTCTTATGAGGACCACCACAGGAAAGGAAGACCCAGAGTTACTTCTGCTGCAGAGGATAAGTTCATTAGAGTTACCAACCTCAGAAATTGCAGCCCCAAAAAATGCTTCACAGAGTTCAAGTAACAGACACATCTCAATATCAACTATTCAGAGAAGACTGTGTGAATCAGGCCTTCATGGTTGAATTGCTGCAAAGAAACCACTACTAAAGGACACCAATAAGAAGAAGAGACTTGCTTGGGCCAAGAAACATGAGCAATGGACATTAGACCGGTGGAAATCTGTCCTTTGGTCTGATGAGTACAAATTTGAGATTTTTTGTTCCAACCGCTGTGTCTTTGTGGTGCAGAGTAGGTGAACGGATGATTTCTGCACGTGTGGTTCCCACCGTGAAGCATGGAGGAGGTGGTGTGAAGGTGTGGGGGTGCTTTGCTGGTGGCACTGTCAGTGATGTATTTAGATTCAAGGCACACATAACCAGCTTGGCTACCACAGCATTCTGCAGTGGTATGCCATCCCATCTGGCTTGCGCTTAGTGGGACTATCATTTATTTTTCAACAGGACAATGACCCAACACACCTCCTGGCTGTGTAAGGGCTATTTGACCAAGAAGGAGATTGATGGAGTGCTGCATCAGATGACCTGGCCTCCACAATCAACTGACCTCAACCCAATTGATATGGTTTGGGATGAGTTGGACAGCAGAGTGAAGGAAAAGCAGCGTGGGAACTTCTTCAAGACTGTTGGAAAAGCATTCCCGGTGAAGCTGGTTGAGAGAATGCCAAGAGTGTGCAAAGCTGTCATCAAGGCAAAGGGTGGCTACTTTGAAGAATCTAAAATATATTTTTTGGTAACTACATGATTCCATATGTGTTATTTAATAGTGTTGATGTCTTCACTATTATTCTACAATGTAGAAAATAGTAAAACATTTAAGAAAAACCCTTGAATGAGTAGGTGTGTCCAAACTTTTGACTGGTACTGCAGATGTGGACATGCGCCAGGCTCTGGAGAGGGAACCCGCTCCTGCTACCTGCCCCCCAGAACGCATCTACCTCCCCACGGGGGTAAGAGATCGGCTGTTGATCTGGGCACACACATCTCTTGCCGCTGGCGCCGAAGAAGATGGCGGCCTCGCGACCAGCTCTTAGGAAACATTGCGGTATTTTGTTTTTTTTATGTATTATTTTGTATATTATTGGCTCAAATGTTTTCTATCATTACATACAGCCGGGAAAAACTGTTGGATATCAGAGTGGCGGTAACTCACCAGCATTACGACCTGGAATACGATTTTTGCGAAGCAGATTCTTTGTTTGCTCTCTCCAGGGCAATTGAACTGATTCCAGCGACTGACCCAAAACATCGCCAGCGGAGGAGAGGCACTCGGAGCGGCCTGCTGGTTCGACTTAGGAGGCGCGCACACCACCCACCGCTTTCAAGTATATTACTCGCTAATGTTCAGTCTGTGGATAACAAGATTAACGAGCTCAGGTTTTCTTTCTAGAGAGACATCAGGGCCTGTAACATACTTTATTTCATGGAAACATGGCTCTCTCCGGATATTCTGTCGAAATCGGTCCAGCCAGATGGGTTCTCCGTTCATCGCGCAGACAGAAATAAATATCTCTCCGGGAAGCAGAGGGGCGGAGATGTGTGTTTCATGATTAACGACTCATGGTGTAATTGTAGTAACATACAGGAACTCAAGTCCTTTTGTTCACCCGACCTATAATACAGTGGGGAAAAAAAGTATTTAGTCAGCCACCAACTGTGCAAGTTCTCCCACTTAAAAAGATGAGAGAGGCCTGTAATTTTCATCATAGGTACACGTCAACTATAACAGACAAAATGAGAAAAAAAATCCAGAAAATCACATTGTAGGATTTGTAATGAATTTATTTGCAAATTATGGTGGAAAATAAGTATTTGGTCAATAACAAAAGTTTCTCAATACTTTGTTATATACCCTTTGTTGGCAATGACACAGGTCAAACGTTTTCTGTAAGTCTTCACAAGGTTTCCACACACTGTTGCTGGTATTTTGGCCGATTCCTCCATGCAGATCTCCTCTAGAGCAGTGATGTTTTGGGGCTGTCGCTGGGCAACACAGACTTTCAACTCCCTCCAAAGATTTTCTATGGGGTTGAGATCTGGAGACTGGCTAGGCCACTCCAGGACCTTGAAATGCTTCTTACGAAGCCACTCCTTCGTTGCCCGGGCGGTGTGTTTGGGATCATTGTCATGCTGAAAGACCCAGCCACGTTTCATCTTCAATGCCCTTGCTGATGGAAGGAGGTTTCACTCAAAATCTCACGATACATGGCCCCATTCATTCTTTCCTTTACACGGATCAGTCGTCCTGGTCCCTTTGCAGAAAAACAGCCCCAAAGCATGATGTTTCCACCCCCATGCTTCACAGTAGGTATGGTGTTCTTTGGATGCAACTCAGCATTCTTTGTCCTCCAAACACGACGAGTTGAGTTTTTACCAAAAAGTTATATTTTGGTTTCATCTGACCATATGACATTCTCCCAATCCTCTTCTGGATCATCCAAATGCACTCTAGCAAACTTCAGACGGGCCTGGACATGTACTGGCTTAAGCAGGGGGACACGTCTTGCACTGCAGGATTTGAGTCCCTGGCGGCATAGTGTGTTACTGATGGTAGGCTTTGTTACTTTGGTCCCAGCTTTCTGCAGGTCATTCACTAGGTCCCCCCATGTGGTTCTGGGATATTTGCTCACCGTTCTTGTGATCATTTTGACCCCACGTGGTGAGATCTTGCGTGGAGCCCCAGATCGAGGGAGATTATCAGTGGTCTTGTATGTCTTCCATTTCCTAATAATTGCTCCCACAGAGGATTTCTTCAAACCAAGCTGCTTACCTATTGCAGACTCAGTCTTCCCAGCCTGGTGCAGGTCTACAATTTTGTTTCTGGTGTCCTTTGACAGCTCTTTGGCCTTGGCCATAGTGGAGTTTGGAGTGTGACTGTTTGAGGTTGTAGACAGGTGTCTTTTATACTGATAACAAGTTCAAACAGGTGCCATTAATACAGGTAACGAGTGGAGGACAGAGGAGCCTCTTAAAGAAGAAGTTACAGGTCTGTGAGAGCCAGAAATCTTGCTTGTTTGTAGGTGACCAAATACTTATTTTCCACCATAATTTGCAAATAAATTCATTACAAATCCTACAATGTGATTTTCTGGAAAAAAAATTCTCTCAATTTGTCTGTCATAGTTGACGTGTACCTATGATGAAAATTACAGGCCTCTCTCATCTTTTTAAGTGGGAGAACTTGCACAATTGGTGGCTGACTAAATACTTTTTTTCCCCACTGTACCTCACAATCAAATGCCGACCGTATTATCTCCCAAGAGAATTTTCTTTGGTTATAGTCACGGCCGTTTATATCCCCCCTCAAGCCGATACCACGACGGCCCTCAAAGAACTTCACTGGACTTTATACAAACTGGAAACCACATATCCTGAGGCTGCATTTATTGTAGCCGGGGATTTTAACAAAGCGAATTTGAGGACTAGGGTGCCGAAGTTCTATCAACATATCGACTGTTGTACATGGGCTGCTAAAATTCTCGACCACTGCTATTCCAACTTCCGGGATGGTTATAAGGCAAAGGTACACTTCAACTGTGAGAGACGGAATCTAAAACAAAAATCCAGAAAATCACATTGTATGATTTTTAAGTAATTAATTAGCATTTTATTGCATGACATAAGTATTTGATCACCTACCAACCAGTAAGAATTCCGGCTCTCACAGACCTGTTAGTTTTTCTTTAAGAAGCCCTCCTGTTCTCCACTCATTACCTGTATTAACTGCACCTGTTTGAACTCATTACCTGTATAAAAGACACCTGTCCACACACTCAATCAAACAGACTCCAACCTCTCCACAATGGCCAAGACCAGAGAGCTGTGTAAGGACATCAGGGATAAAATTGTAGACCTGCACAAGGCTGGGATGGGCTACAGGACAATAGGCAAGCAGCTTGGTGAGAAGGCAACAACTGTTGGCGCAATTATTAGAAAATGGAAGAAGTTCAAGATGACGGTCAATCACCCTCGGTCTGGGGCTCCATGCAAGATCTCACCTCGTGGGACATCAATGATCATGAGGAAGGTGAGGGATCAGCCCAGAACTACATGGCAGGACCTGGTCAATGACCTGAAGAGAGCTGGGACCACAGTCTCAAAGAAAACCATTAGTAACACACTACGCCGTCATGGATTAAAATCCTGCAGCGCATGCAAGGTCCCCCTGCTCAAGCCAGTGCATGTCCAGGCCCGTCTGAAGTTTGCCAATGACCATCTGGATGATCCAGAGGAGGAATGGGAGAAGGTCATGTGGTCTGATGAGACAAAAATAGAGCTTTTTGGTCTAAACTCCACTCGCCGTGTTTGGAGGAAGAAGAAGGATGAGCACAATCCCAAGAACACCATCCTAACCGTGAAGCATGGAGGTGGAAACATCATTCTTTTGAGATGCTTTTCTGCAAAGGGGACATGACGACTGCACCATATTGAGGGGAGGATGGATGGGGCCATGTATCGCGAGATCTTGGCCAACAACCTCCTTCCCTCAGTAAGAGCATTGAAGATGGGTCGTGGCTGGGTTTTCCAGCATGACAACGACTCGAAACACACAGCCAGGGCAACTAAGGAGTGGCTCCGTAAGAAGCATCTCAAGGTCCTGGAGTGGCCTAGAAAATCTTTGGAGGGAGCTGAAAGTCCGTATTGCCCAGCGACAGCCCCGAAACCTGAAGGATCTGGAGAAGGTCTGTATGGAGGAGTGGGCCAAAATTCCTGCTGCAGTGTGTGCAAACCTGGTCAACACCAACAGGAAACATATGATCTCTGTAATTGCAAACAAAGGTTTCTGTACCAAATATTAAGTTCTGCTTTTCTGATGTATCAAATACTTATGTCATGCAATAAAATGCACATTAATTACTTAAAAATCATACAATGTGATTTTCTGGATTTTTGTTTTAGATTCCGTCTCTCACAGTTGAAGTGTACCTATGATAAAAATGACAGACCTCTACATGCTTTCTAAGTAGGAAAACCTGCAAAATCGGCAGTGTATCAAATACTTGTTCTCCCCACTGTATGTGGCAGGGTCTACAGACAATCACGGACTACAAAAGGAAAACCAGCCACGTCGCCGAGAGCCACGTCTACCAAGGACTGTGGGCTCTCGTTCTCCTTGGCCGACATGAGTAAGACATTTAAGCATGTTAACCCCTGTAAGGCTGCCGGCCCAGACGGCATTCCTAGCCGCGTCCTCAGAGCATGCGCAGACCAGCTGGCTGGTGTGTTTATGGACATATTCAATCTCTCCCTCTCCCTATCCCAGTCTGCTGTCCCTACATGCTTCAAGATGGCCACCATTGTTCCTGTACCCAAGAAAGCAAAGGTAACTGAACTAAATGACTATCGCCCCGTAGCACTCACCTCTGTCATCATGAAGTGCTTTGAGAGACTAGTCAAGGGTCATATCACCTCTACCTTACCTGTCACGCTAGACCCACTTCAATTTGCTTACCGTCCAAATAGATCCACAGACGATGCAATCGCCATCACACTGCACACTGCCCTATCCCATCTGGACAAGAGGAATACCTATGTAAGAATGCTGTTCATTGACTATAGCTCAGCATTCAACACCATAGTACCCTCCAAGCTCATCATAAAGCTTGAGGCCCTGGATTTGAATCCCGCCCTGTGCAACTGGGTCTTGGACTACCTGACGGACGCCCCCAGGTGGTGAAGGTAGGAAACAACATCTCCACTTCGCTGATCCTCAACACTGGGGCCCCTCAAGGGTGCATGCTCAGCCCCCTCTTGTACTCCCAGTACGCCTCCAACTCAATCATCAAGTTTGCAGACAACACAACAGTAGTAGGCTTGATTACCAACAATGACGAGACAGCCTACAGGGAGGAGGTGAGGGCTCTGGGAGTGTGGTGCCAGGAAAATAACCTCTCACTCAACGTCAACAAAACAAAGGAGATGATCGTGGACTTCAGGAAACAGCAGAGGGTGCACCCCCCTATCCACATCGACGGGACCGCAGGGGAGAAGGTGGAAAGCTTCAAGTTGCTTGGCGTACACATCACTGACAAACTGAAATGGTCCACCCACGCGGACAGTGTGCTGAAGAAGGCGTAACAGAGCCTCTTCAACCTCAGGAGGTTGAAGAAATTTGGCTTGGCACCTAAAATCCTCACAAACTTTTACAGATGCACAATTGAGAGCATCCTGTCAAGCTGTATCACCGCCTGGTACGGCAACTGCACCGCCCGCAACCGCAGGGCTCTCCAGAGGGTGGTGCGGTCTGCCCAACGCATCACCGGGGGCAAACTACCCGCCCTCCAGGACACCTACAGCACCCGATGTCACAGTAAGGCCAAAAAGATCATCAAGGACATCAACCACCCGAGCCACTGCCTGTTCACCCCGCTATCATCCAGAAGGTGAGGTCAGTACAGGTGCATCAAAGCTGGGACCGAGAGACTGAAAAACAGCTTCTATCTCAAGGCCAACAGACTGTTAAATAGCCATCATTAGCACATTTGAGGCTGCTGCCTATAGACATAGACTAGAAATCACTGGCCACTTTAAGAAATGGAACACTAGTCACTTTAATAATGTTTACATATCTTGCATTACTCATCTCATATGTATATACTGTATTCTATAATATTATACTGTATCTTAGTCCATGCCGCTCTTTCATTACTCGTCCATATATGTATATATTCTTAATTCCATTCCTTACTTAGATTTGTGTGTATTGGGTATATGTTGTGAAATTGTTAGATATTACATGTTAGATATTACTGCACTGTCGGAGCTAGAAGCACAAGCATTTCGCTACACCCGCAATAACATCTGCTAAACACGTGTATGTGACAAATACAATTTGAATTGAATTGGACACCCAGGTATCACCTGCACTATCCAATCCATCTCTGATAAGTACTGGTGGCCCACCTTGGCGCAGGATGTCACCCTATGTCAACTCCTGCTCCATACAGTGCATTCGGAAAGTATTCATACCCCTTGACTTTTTCCACATTTTGTTACGTTACAGCCTTATTCTAAAATGGATTAAATAAAAAATGTTCCTCTTCAATCTACACACAATGCCCCGTAATGAAAAAGCAAAAATAGGTTTTTAGATTTTTTTCACATTGATTACAAATAAAAAACAGAAATACCTTATTTACATAACTATTCAGACCCTTTGCTATGATACTCGAAATTGAGCTCAGTTGCATCCTGTTTCCATTGATCATCCTTGAGATGTTTCGACAATTTACCCCCTTAGTTTGGTACGTTTGGACTTGTGTGAACACTTTATCCACACTCGTGAGTGAACTAAACAATGCACGGTGGTTTGCTCAAAAACGGTGGCTCGGTCCGATTTAATTCGTACCATGGTGCGGTTTGCTGCAGGTGAGAATGCAGTCTGGACCAAACACAGGGGAAAAAAACAGTCTCGCATTATTATTGATTGTTTGACTGCGAGCATTTGATGAAACGCACGCAGCATCATAACTTCAGATCTCTGAAACATTATGTGAGTAGTAGCGCATTATGAGCGCATCTGATGCAGATTAGGGGAGACAGGGCTATACACAGGGCTATACCGGGGATATAGGCTACTGAATATAGCCTGTTCATGTCGTCACAGTTAGAGCGGCTATTGCGCTGTTTCCTCCCGCATTTTGTTGGAAGACCAAAGAGAAATAAATATTATGATTGGGACACACAAGTAATGTGGATTTAACTTGAGCATTTTTGGACAATAAACAAATGACTTGCATGGACAAGCGGTTTTGTTTAGGAATTTTTGTTTTGACAAATGTCATACATTGTGAAACCAACTGGATCAAATGAAAAAAATACAATCTAACAAATAGTCAAGTTTTGAGCTATAGTTCAAATCAATGTGTGAAAATGCCCTTAAATAACCCCCTTCCCCAAAGCATGTATAAATATTGGACTATAAATTGTAGCTTCCTGTATTATACTTATGCTAAAATATGTATTATATTCTACTGAGCCATTTACTTTATGTTCATATTCTTATATTTTTATTATTTCTTATTGTTGTTGCATTGTCCAGAAGGAACCTGCATGTAAATGTAAGTAAGCATTTTGTAAATGTAAACGTAAGTAAGTATTTCGTTGGACGATGTATGACGTGTATCCTGTACATACGACTAATAAAACTTGAAACTAGAGAAGCGCACTGGGGTTAACCAAGGGTGAAGTATATATCCGTAAGTTGTTGTTATATAGCTAGCGTGTACCGTTATAGAAGGATGGCATTTATTATTATTATTATTTGGTGGAAAATCGTTATGAGAAACATCCCATTGGACACAGACATCAGTTAACGTCTAGTTCTGTCTTACATTTGATTGTTGTCTATTAACGTTAATTCAAAGAAAAATCGACAACAATTTGAACATTGTTATTGGATTTAGGTTACAAGTTGGGTAAAAAAAGAAAAAATTATTGAGTTTTTACAAATCCAATCCGTTTTTCACGTATATTCACGTTTCACGTTTCCTTCATCAGAAGAAAAATGTTGGGGGGTTAAAATGCCTGAAATTAATGTTTGGGTTGTTGTTGAAATGCCACGAAAACAATGTTGATTCAACCAGTTTGTGCCGAGCGGGTATTGGATTGTCTGTATCGGATTTCCAGTAATGGTGCTGCGCTTGATCTCTCTCTCTAGATGAGCAGTGTGGTTAAGGCGCGTATTCACAAAGCATCTCTGAGTAGGAGCAGATCTAGGATCAGTTTCACCTTTTAATACATAATTAGGGTGTTAGGTGACTCGACAAACAATGGGCACTATGCGAGAATTCTACAAAAAACAGCAGTGATCAAATACATTTTCACTAAATGTCAATAATGTGGTCGTCAAAATACATAATACATTATTTGAAAACATGAATGTCGAAGTTGTTAACCATGTCTAAAAATCATAATACTGTATGTTATGATATTTACGTGATATGAGCCCAAATATAAAGTAAGTGCCTTGCTTAGAACGTTCAATTCTGTAGGACAGCCTTTTTTTTATGAAAGCCGCAAAATCAGCGTGTTCATATTTGCTCTTTGCTATGGGTATTTCCCACTCTACCAGAGTAAGATCAATGTAAAATTGCATTGCCAACAAGTATCGGATAGTCCGGAGGGTATTTTAAGGTCATCAGACATCCTTGGACTGAAATATAAGGTAAAAACGTTTTTCCTTCACTTCTGACATTGATGTTTTCAGACATGAAAAAAACATAGCAGGTTACACAGTAGAGCTTCGTAGCTACATTTTGGTGTATGAGTTGTCAGGGTAGTCTAAATTCACGCGGCGCTACCCGTTTTTATGACGAGATGCTAGCTAGCTACCTGTGTGAGGGAGTGTTTGTTGGCTGGACGCCGTTCGCTGATATGGCGAGTGATTCATGCCAAAATTAAGCCTAATGAAGTTACTGATACCATATCAACTCCATAAAAACAATATTAGGCAAGTTGATTTGCAGCCAGCCACCATTACTGTGTAGATATGCCTATTTCTTAAATCAATATGGACACGAGGGCTTTGTTGGAGCCCTATTCAGAAATAAGAGGTAGCCTAGGTCTCTCTAGTGCCACGTTCAAAACAACTGGGAACTCGGCAATCTCTGACTTCCGACTTCAGTGTTTTCAAGAAAACTGGGAACTCTGAAAAAAACGAGCCCCAACTGGGAAAAATAGTTTTCAATGATCATCCAACTCGGAAACTCAGGCATCTTTCTCAGACTTTGCAATCTGAAAATCACTGATGTCATGATTTGACCTCGTTTTCCCCCCCAGAGTTCCCAGTTTACCTGTTTAACAGATGCAATCACTGTCACCATACACTCCTTAGGCAATCTGCTATCAATTTCTGTGGAGTGCTTGATGTCTTATGGTTAAAAGCAGGGCTTGAATTGAGGGAGTATGTGAGGATATAGAGAAGTGCAAAAAGCATAGGCTACCCCTTGTTGGATTACAAATTGTGCGAAAAAACAACGGTCCAGATTATATACAGCGATCTAGGCTATAACAATGATTAACTCCACAATGCTTTCTGCATAGTCTACTATCATATTGAAGGTCTTGCTCTGCCTCAACATGGGTTCATGGTAGACCATATAAGCTTATCAAAACATTGACTTTTAAATGTAAAGCAAGTATCAATATCCCACAGAAAATACGTTTTTTTTTAATGCTCCGGAATTGAGAATATTAGTGGTCGGCTATGCATATAGCAAAATACCAAAAATATAGAAAAGGTATAGAAGCGGTATGGATCTATCCATAGACCAAACGGCTTAATAGATAAACACATTTTAGATTTTCAGGAGAATCGCATTGAATCAGGCTATTCATTTCAGTGCAGTTGCGTTCTTTCGCATAACCTATAGCCGAAATGGAACCAAAACACCCCAGCCTATTTTGATCACAGATCATGACAAAGCCTGAACATTTTGGCGATACTGTATTTATCCTTGATTTAGCCCACTATCGCCTACAGATTTGATACACATGAAGCCAAAGGCCTATATTTAATCTGGATTTGACAAACAATAGCCTGACTAGGATCCTTTGACTTCCCCCCACGCCATATGTGTTTCCAAATAGGCTAAATGTAGTCCTATGAATAAGGTCTGAATGTTTTCCTATTCATTTGCATAGGCTAACCATTGTGATTAATTATATTGACTATCTTCTGCTTTTTATGAATAAACAGGCATCAGTAAAAACAATAATTGGTTTAGATATGCTCCACAAGAAAATGAGTGAAATTGCATTATTTTCGAATTTGCATTGGTTTTCAGTCAATTACTACTGCTTAGCACCTCACCATGTTTTTGTGAGTAGGTATATTCCTTGTAAAGATAGTGTATTAAAATGTTCTAGACAAGAATGAGGGGATGGGTGTGTGGCGATCATAGGCCTATGGAGGCATATAAATTATGAATTTCTCCCGCCAATATTCGTGCACATTTGTTGTTTCGTTGTGTGAATATTTTATTCTCAGCTACCCTCCTTTATTAATGTATCAATTCCCGTTACATAGCCTGATCATTTATATCCAGTGCTTCACTTAGGCTATAACAGCCTCCACTCTTCTGGGAAGGCTTTCCACTAGATGTTGGAACATTGCTGCGGGGACTTGCTTTTATTCAGCCACAAGAGCATTAGTGAGGACGGGCACTGATGTTGGGCGATTAGGTCTTGCTCGCAGTCGGCATTCCAATTCATCCCAAAGGTGTTTGATGGGGTTGAGGTCAGGGCTCTGTGCAGGCCAGTCAAGTTCTTCCACACCTATCTCAACAAACCATTTCTGTATGGACCTCGCTTTGTGCACTGGGGAATTGTCATGCTAAAACAGGAAAGGGCCTTCCCCAAACTGTTGCCACAAAGTTGGGAGCACAGAATCGTCTAGAATATCATTGTATGATGTAGCGTTAAGATTTCCCTTCACTGGAACTAAGGGGCCTAGCCCGGACCATTATTCCTCCTCCACCAAACTTTACAGTTGGCACTATGCATTCAGGCAGGTAACGTTCTCCTGGCATCCACTAAACCCAGATTCGTCCGCTCGGACTGCCAGATGGTGAAGCGTGATTCATCACTCTAAAGAATGCGTTTCCACTGCTCCAGAGTCCAATGGCGGCAAGCTTTTCACCACTCCAGCCGACGCTTGGCATTGCGCATGGTGATCTTAGGCTTGTGTGCGGCTGTTCAGCCATGGAAACCCATTTCATGAAGCACCCGACGAACAGTTATTGTGCTGACGTTGCTTCCAGAGGCAGTTTGGAACTTGGTAGTGAGCGTTGCAACCGAGGACAGACAATTTTTACGCACTACGCGTTTCAGCACTCAGCGGTCCCGTTCTGTGAGCTTGTGTGGCCTACCACTTCGTGGCTGAGCCGTTGTTGCTCCTAAATATTTCCACAATAACAGCACTTACAGTTGACCGGGGCAGCTCTAGCAGGGCAGAAATGTGATGAACTGACTTGTTGGAAAGGTGGTATCCTATGACGGTGCTACATTGAAAGTCACTGAACTCTTCAGTAAGGCCATTCTACTGCCAATGTTTGTCAATGGAGATTGCATGGCTGTGTGCTCAATTGTATACACCTGTCAGCAACGGGTGTGGCTAAAATAGCCATATCCACTAATTTGGAGGGGTGTCCACATATTTTTGTATATATAGTGAATAAACAGTAGCCTACCCATACCCAAAATGAATAGGCTACCAGCACCTATTTCAGTCCATGTCAAGCACTGTTTATATCACCAGTAGGCCTAAATGTTCACCATTAATCCCCATTTTTGTAATCTAGGCGTTTAGTTACGGTAATATATGATAATGCAATTCAAACTGCTAGCCTATTCTTGTGATGAAGAAGTTTAGATTTTATTATGAGTTTTGTCTATTTCTTAATTTTTGTCAATTTCTTGATTGTCTTTTGTTCGCATGTGTTGGTTTCTTTGTCCTATCAATGTTGATCACACATCCTCAGCACGCATATAGAAGTAGGGTAATTTGCCTGCGCGCAAATGTAAGCCAGGCCTATAAAAGTGGGGATGTTTGGTAGCCGAGTATTTCTTATTGTCTTAACACACCACTACCAATGAGCAAACCCTTTAGCCTACATCTTAGAACCCCACAGTCCTGCTCAACGGCTCCCCATGCATTTTTCACTGGGGTAGCTATGGGTTAGCTTGGCCAATCAAAATTGAATGAGTACTCACTTAAAACAAATGAGTTAAAAATAACCTGGCCCATGTTGACGCCAATGCTTCTCACAGTTCTGTCAAGTTGGCTGGATGTCCTTTGGGTGGTGGACCATTCTTGATTCACACAGGAAATTGTTGAGCGTGAGGAACCCAGCAGCGTTGCAGTTGTTCACACTCAAACCGGTGCGCCTGGCACCTACTACCATACAGTGAAGGAAAAAAGTATTTGATCCCCTTCTGATTTTGTACGTTTGCCCACTGACAAAGACATGATCAGTCTATAATTTTAATGGTAGGTTTATTTGAACAGTGGGAGACAGAATAACAACAAAAAAATCCAGAAAAACGCATGTCAAAAATGTTATAAATTGATTAGCATTTTAATTAGTATTTGACCCCTCTGCAAAAAATGACTTAGTACTTGGTGGAAAAACCCTTGTTGGCAATCACAGAGGTCAGACGTTTCTTGTAGTTGGCCACCAGGTTTGCACACATCTCAGGAGGGATTTTGTCCCACTCCTCTTTGCAGATCTTCTCCAAGTCATTAAGGTTTGGCAACTCAAACCTTCAGCTCCCTCCACAGATGGGATTAAGGTCTGTAGACTGGCTAGGCCACTCCAGGACCTTAATGTGCTTCTTCTTGAGCCACTCCTTTGTTGCCTTTGCTGTGTGTTTTGGGTCATTGTCATGCTGGAATACCCATCCACGACCCATTTTCAATGCCCTGGCTGAGGGAAGGAGGTTCTCACCCAAGATTTGACGGTACATGGTCCCGTCCATCGTCCCTTTGATGCGGTGAAGTTGTCCTGTCCCCTTAGCAGAAAAACACCCCCAAAGCATAATGTTTCCACCTCCATGGGGATGGTGTACTTGGGGTCAGCATTCCTCCTCCTCCAAACACGGCGAGTTGAGTTGATGCCAAAGAGCTCGATTTTGGTCTCATCTGACCACAACACTTTCACCCAGTTCTCTTCTGAATGATTCAGATGTTCATTGGCAAACTTCAGACGGCCCTGTATATGTGCTTTCTTGAGCAGGGGGACCTTGCGGGCGCTGCAGGATTTCACTCCTTCACGGCGTAGTGTGTTACCAATTGTTTTCTTGGTGACTATGGTCCCAGCTGCCTTGAGATCATTGACAAGATCCTCCCGTGTAGTTCCGGGCTGATTCCTCACCGTTCTCATGATCATTGCAACTCCACGAGGTGAGATCTTGCATGGAGCCCCAGGCAGAGGGAGATTGACAGTTCTTTTGTGTTTCTTCCATTTGCGAATAATTGCACCAACTGTTGTCACCTTCTCACCAAGCTGCTTGGCGATGGTCTTGTAGCCCATTCCAGCCTTGTGAAGGTCTACAATCTTGTCCCTGACATCCTTGGAGAGCTATTTGGTGTTGGCCATGGTGGAGAGTTTGGAATCTGATTGATTGATTGCTTCTGTGGACAGGTGTCTTTTATACAGTTAACAAACTGAGATTAGGAGCACTCCCTTTAAGAGTGTGCTCCTAATCTCAGTTTATTACCTGTATAAAAGACACCTGGGAGCCAGAAATCTTTCTGATTGAGAGGGGGTCAAATACTTATTTCCCTCATTAAAAAGCAAATCAATTTATAACATTTTTGATGTGTTTTTCTGGATTTTGTTGTTGTTATTCTGTCTCTCACTGTTCAAATAAACCTACCATTAAAATTATAGACTGACCATGTCTTTGTCAGTGGGCAAACGTACAAAATCAGCAGGGGATCAAATACTTTTTTCCCTCACTGTACCCTGTTAAAAGGCATTTAAATCTTTTGTCTTGCCCATTCACTCTCTAATGGCGCACAATCCATGTCTCAATTGTCTCAAGGCTTAAAAATCCTTCTTTAGGCCTCCCGAGTGGCGCAGCGGTCTAAGGCACTGCATTGCAGTGTTGCGGCGTCACTACAGCCTGGGGTTCGATCCCGGCGTCGTCCGGGTTAGGGGAGGGTTTGGCCGGGGGGGGCTTTACTTGGCTCATTGCGCTCCAGCGACTCCTTGTGGCGGGCTGGGCGCCTGCAGGCTGACTTCGGTCGTCAGCTGAACAGTGTTTCTTCTGACACATTGGTGCAGCTGGCGTCTGGGTTAAGCGAGCAGGTGTTAAGTGCGGATAGGCGGGTCTTGTTTCGGAGGACGCATGACTCGACCTTCGCCTCTCCCGAGCCCGTTGGCGGTGTCACCGCATGAAACCTATCATTACTCATCTTCTGAATTATTAATTTCACTTCGACGTCAACTGCAACAACTGTTTTTATAAGACCAAACTGGGATTCACCGTCTGTGGAGCATGACGCCAACATAGAGCAGAAGTTTCCAATGTTTGTTTAAAGATGGTGTCTTGTCACCAATAACGAGCGGAAGAAATCTAAGTAGTAGTTAGGAGAATTGCGCAACAGTATTGCGTTCTCTACTCTACGGTCTCCTCTTTGTGCACTCTGCACCAGCGACAACAACTATGGGCTATGAAGCTTTTATTGTATCCGAGTAAGGCTTTGAGCCCCAAGTTATCCCATAAACCTTTTGAACAAGCCATATTAACAAAGACTCTGGTAACTAAGCTCCTTCTATCTGTGATATTAACAGTTGAACCGCAGTCAAATATTTATGTTTCTTTCTACCTACTTGTCCCATGGTTCCGCAGAGGGATATTTGGATTGATGAGATTGGGTAATGTATTGTATTTGCATATAACCACGCGATTGGATTAGACGGGGCACTAGTAGAGGTGGGCGTTGCTTCGAGAAAGAGAGGTTCCTGAGTTAGAGAGGCCGCTGCGCCCGGTAGATTTTTAAAGCTGTCTAAAAAAAATGTTGGACTTTTATATAACAAAATGCGATGTTGTCCGGTCCGAATTTACCCTTTTCTGGGTCTGGACCCGCCAGTTGATTTTGGCTGATCTAGTGGAAAGCCCTCCCGAGTGGCGCAGTGGTCTAAGGCACTGCATTGCAGTGTTAGCTGTGCCACTAGAGATCCTGGTTCGAATCCAGGCTCTGTCGTAGCCGGCCGCGACCGGGAGACCCATGGGGCGGCGCACAATTGGCCCAGCGTCGTCCAGGGTAGGGGAGGGAATGGGGATGTAGCTCAGTTGGTAGTTGGTTGTGGGTTCGATTCCCACGGGGGGCCAGTATGAAAAAAATTAAAAATAATGTATGCACTCACTAAGTCGCTCTGGATAAGAGCGTCTACTAAATGACTAAAATGTAAATGTAAGAGTGGAGGCTGTTATAGCAGTAAAGGGGGGACCAACTCCATATTAATGCCTGTGATTTTGGAATGAGATGTTCGACGAGAAGGTGTCCACATACCTTTGGTCATATAGTGTATATCAGCAATTGTAAGTCCTATACTCATGAAATAAAGTGTTCTGTGTTCCTGAGAAGCTTCTCTATAAAATGGAATACAACGTAAAACACCAGAAGCACAGTTTCATTTTGAGCCCTAACATAATGAATAAGAGAGGGGACCTGATCCTACATAGATCAGCGCTCCTACCCTGAGACCCTTTGTGAATATGGGCCCTGGTCTGGTGAGTGACACACACACTCACTCACTCACTCACTCACTCACTCACTCACTCACTCACTCACTCACTCACTCACTCACTCACTCACTCACTCACTCACTCACTCACTCACTCACTCACTGTCACACACAGGTGACCCTATGTCACACATCCATTACCAAGGTAACAACAGAGGTAAAAAGAGAAAGAGACTTGTTTTCCTCCATACCATCTCCAATCCTACAATCTCTCTCTTTCTTTCTCTCTGCTCGCACCATCTTTCACCTGCACTTTCTTCTTTTCTCTATTTATGTTTCCCTCTCTCTGCCCTTCTGTCTCTGTATTCAGCTCTCTCTGTCTCTCTAGATCTCTCTATCTACAGTGCATTCGGAAATTATTCAGACCCCTTCCCTTATTCTAAAATTGATTAAATACATTTTTGTCCTCATCAATCTACACACAATACCCCATAATGACAAAGCGAAAACAGGTTTTTAGAAATTTTGCAAATGTATTACAAATTAAAAACGGAAATACCTTACTTACTTAAGTATTCAGACCCTTTGCAATGAGACTCGAAATTGAGCTGGAGTGCATCCTGTTTCCATTGATCATCCTTGAGATGTTTCTACAACTTGATTGGAGTCCACCTGTGGTAAATTCAATTGATTGGACATTATTTTAAAAGGCACACACCTGTCTATATAAGGTCCCACAGTTGTCAGTGCATGTCAGAGCAAAATCCAAGCCATGAAGTTGAAGGAATTGTCCATAGAGCTCCGAGACAGGATTGTGTCGAGGCACAGATCTGGGGAAGGGTACCAAAACATGTCTGCAGCATTGAAGGTCCCCAAGAACACAGTGACCTCCATCATTCTTAAATGGAAGAAGTTTGGAACCACCAAGACTCTTCCTAGACCTGGCCGCCCGGCCAAACTGAGCAATCGGGGGAGAAGGGCCTTGGTCAGGGAGGTGGCAAGAACCTGATGGTCACTCTGACAGAGCTCCAGAGTTCCTCTGTGGAGATAGGAGAACCTTCCAGAAGGACAACCATCTCTGCAGCACTCCACCAATCAGGCCTTTATGGTAGAGTGGCCAGACGGAAGCCACTCCTCAGTAAAAGGCACATGCCATCCTGCTTGGAGTTTGCCAAAAGTCACCTAAAGAACTCTCATACCATGAGAAACAAGATTCTCTGGTCTGATGAAACCAAGATTGAACTCTTTGGCCTGAATGCCAAGCGTCACGTCTGGAGGAAACCTGCCACCATCCTTACGGTGAAGCATGGTGGAGGGCAGCATCATGCTGTGGGGAAGTTTTTCAGCGGCAGGGATGGGGAGACTAGTCAGGATCGAGGGAAAGATGAACGGAGCAAAGTACAGAGAGATCATTGATGAAAACCTGATCCAGAGTGCTCAGGACCTCAGACTGTGGCGAAGGTTCACCTTCCAACAGGACAATGACACTAGGCACACAGCCAAGACAACACAGGAGTGGCTTCAGGAAAAGTCTCTGAATGTCCTTGAGTGGCCCATCCAGAGCCCGGACTTGAACCCGATTGAACATCTCTGGAGAGACCTGAAAATAGCTGTGCAGCGACGCTCCCCATCCAACCTGACAGAGCTTGAGAGGATCTGCAGAGAAGAATGGGAGAAACTCCCCAAATACAGGTGTGCCAAGCTTGTAGCGTCATACCCACGAAGACTCGAGGCTGCAATGGCTTCCAATGGTGCTTCAACAAAGTACTGAGTAAAGGGTCTGAAACCTGTTTTTGCTTTGTCATTATGGGGTATTGTGTGTGTAGATCGATGAGGGGGAAAAAAACAATTTAATCAATTTTAGAATAAGGCTGTAATGTAATAAAATGTGGAAAATGTCAAGGGGTCTGAATACTTTCCGAAGGCTCTGTATCTCTCGCTCCCCTCTCTCTATGCCATATAAAAGCAGCCTATGTTCCAGGCATTATGGCAGTGGGCCATGATAGCCCAGACTATTCTGACCCTGAAGTGCTCTTGACATTAGGGTTGGGCTGAATCCAGATTTCCATACCTTCATACCGTTCCTGTACCATATGTGGGTACAACTGGCTTACCTGGTTAAATAAAGGTTAAATAAAATAAATAAAAAATACCGGCAGTGCACACATGCTAACAAAGTACTAGCGAATTCCCATAGCAGACACTAGCTAAATGCTAAGGACCGAGCTCATAAAGTTATACAACTATCTAAAGAGTCTACTCGCACTTCATCCAGAAGGGGATCTACCAACCCTGATGTTCTAGCAGTGTCTGAATCTTGGCTTAGGAAGGCCACAAGAAATTTCCATTCCGAACTACAACATTTTCCGTCTAGATAGAACTGCCAAAGGGGGCGGAGTTGCAATCTATGTAGAGATAGCCTGCAGAGCTCTATCATACTATCCAGGTCTGTGCCCAAACAGTTTGAGCTTCTACTTCTAAAAATCCACCTTTCCAGAAATAAGTCTGGAGTTGCAATTATCATTAGAACGGTGAGGAATCAGCCCAGAACTAAACAAGAGGATCTTGTCAATGATCTCAAGGCAGCTGGGACCATAGTCACCAAGAAAACAATTGGTAACACACTACGCCGTGAAAGACTGAAATTCTGCAGCGCCCGCATGGTCCCCCTGCTCAAGAAAGCGCATATACAGGCCCTTCTGAAGTTTGCCAATGAACATCTGAATGATTCAGAGGAGAACTGGGTGAAAATGTTGTGGTCAGATGAGACCAAAATCGAGCTCTTTGGCATCAACTCATCTCGCCATGTTTGGAGGAGGAGGAATGATGCCTATGACTCCAAGAACACCATCCCCACCATCAAACATGGAGATGGAAACATTTTGCTTTGGGTGTGTTTTTCTGCTAAGGGGACAGGACAACTTCACCGCATCAAAGGGATGATGGACGGGGCCATGTACCGTCAAATCTTGGGTGAGAACCTCCTTCCCTCAGCCAGGGCATTGAAAATAGGTCGTGGATGGGTATTCCAGCATGACAATGACCCAAAACACACGGCCAAGGCAACAAATGAGTGGCTCAAGAAGAAGCACATTAAGGTCCTGGAGTAGCCTAGCCAGTCTCCAGACCTTAATCCCATAGAAAATCTGTGGAGGGAGCTGAAGGTTCGAGTTGCCAAACGTCAGCCTCGAAACCTTAATGACTTGGAGAAGATCTGCAAAGAGGAGTGGGACAAAATCCCTCCTGAGATGTGTGTAAACCTACAAGAAACGTCTGACCTCTGTGATTGCCAACATGGGTTTTGCCACCAAGTACTAAGTCATGTTTTGCAGAGGGGTCAAATACTTATTTCCCTCATTAAAATGCAAATACATGTATACAATTTTTGACATGCATTTTTCTGGATTTTTTTGTTGTTATTCTGTCTCTCACTGTTCAAATAAACCTACCATTAAAATTATAGACTGATCATGTCTTTGTCAGTGGGCAAACGTACAAAATCAGCAGGGGATCCAATACTTTTTTCCCTCACTGTATGTGTCAAGTGTAGACACGACCTATGATGTTCCGTCTCCTTATTAATTCAGCCACTTACTTAGCCAACTAGCAAGTTAAACCAAATACACAGCTGGACTCACCAGCTCCGATCCGCTTTCTCCCGTTGTGCTATTTACAAACAAACACATGACTGGCACAACTGCGTGTGATCAGGGGTGTATTCATTCCGCCGATTCTGTTGAAAAACGTTTCTTAAACGTCAGCAAACGGAACAAAACGGGGATAAATATACCTGAATTTGTCCAATAGAAACTCTCGTTTGCAACTGTTGGACTAATGATTACACCTTATATCCGCTAGATGCAGGCAAGAGTGTGTAATGCGGTATTGAATGTGTCACTGTCTGTCACCTCAAAATGTTCTCTCAACCTGTGTACACCTATGTTGTAATCTTTCATTCATAGGCTAGGTTGTAGGGAAAATGTGGGTATCATGTAGTAGCCTAAACCTATCGCTGTTACATTGAACTGGGTGAATGGAATATGAATGACAGTAATCCAATATGCTGTAATAGAAATAAGGCCATGCTCATGAAAAAAAAAATGGTACTCACACATCTTAAACGGCGCTGACCACCACTGCTACACATGCATGTGTGTGATCAGGTGGGTAGGCCTAAGTGTGTGAGTTACGCAACTCCAAGTCACACATTCAGTGTGACTGCCTCTGCTTGGCCTAATGCCCAAGGCTCACACATCGAGAGACATCAAAGTAATTGCCTGCATCTCACACTATTCTTCCAAACTATTCCAAACTCCTTACACAACCACAGGACTCTCTCATAGTTCTTGTCAGACACCTCCTGCAGCCTGTTTCTGTGTCGATTCACTAGCAGAATGCTGACAGCTAACGCTAATACTAAAACGCAACCAACAGCTAATGCTAACAGCTAGAGCTAGCTAGAGCTAGCTGCTGGAGAGTAGTCAAGGACTCATTTTCTCCAACTGTCTGATGGCCTACGTCACACTGTGAACTCAATGAAAGAACAGTTTTCCCTCTCTCTTTTGTTCTCTCTCTTTTTTTCCCCTCTTCTTCTACTTTCTAGGGCCCATAGTCGTAGTCTGGCTGACGAGACTCACATGGTCAGCGAGGGAGAGTTGTGCTTATTTCTGGCTGAGCTTTGATTGGTTCTCTCAGATGTTTTTTCTTCTTCTTGGGGGGTTGAGATGAGACCTCACGTTGTTTGGATTTTGAAAATCCAACAGTTGTGATGGAAGGGGGTGGCGCTCAGGGGCTGTGTGTGGTTGTCCATGGTGGGTGTTTTAGTGAGAAAGACACAGAGGAGAACCAATCAGTAAAAAAACACAGCCCCCTACATTATCGACGCATCATGCTGACAACATCAAGAGCCTTGCCAGACTCTAAAGTCAGTGTGTGTGTGTGTGTGTGCGCACATTGTGTGCGTGTGTGCATCCAGTCAATATAGTAAAACTAAAGCACCTAGTGTTTTATTTTTCTCTTCCAATTCTCTCTTTCTCTCCCTCTCTTGTTCTCCATTTTATTATACCTCCTATCTGGCTTAAGTAAACGTCATTGTATCATAGGACTGCTGTTTGTTGTGTAATGATTGAGGAAAGTGCTTCGGGCCCTTTGAGCTGAGAGATTGGCTGCCCTACTTCTGACCGACTGTGTCCGTCTCTCTATCGGTGTGTGTGTTCATCTCCCCTCTTACATCTCTTTCCAACTGGCTGCTTTGCTACATAGAAAGCCTCAAGGTCTGTTTCTCTCTTCTCCTCTTCTCTCTTTCACACTCTGTCTCTCTTGCTGTGTGTGTGCTTCTCTCTCTCTCTCTCTCTCGCGCTCTCTCTCGCGCTCTCTCACTCTCGCGCTCTCTCTCTCTCGCGCTCTCTCTCTCTCTGTGTTTGTTTGTTTGCACAGAACAGTAGAGTATAGTTAAGTAGAGTACAGTAGACATCAAAACTATGAAGTAACACATGAGAGAGTGTGCAAAGCTGTCATCAAGGCAAAGGGTGGCTACTTTGAAGAATCTCAAATATAGAATATATTTTGATTTGTTTAACACCTTTTTGGTTACTACATGATTCCATATGTGTTATTTCATAGTTTTGATGTCTTCACTATTATTCTACAATGTAGAAAATAGTACAAATAAAGACAAACCCTTAAATGAGTAGGTGTGTCCAAACCTTTGACAGGTACTGTATATCGAAGAACTCTGTCTTTCTCACACACACGCAGCTGTATCTGACAGATGGGACCACAGTGTGGTGTCTGCTGTGGTCGGTCTCTGTGGTCTCAACCAGCAGCACTGTTGTTAAAGTAACACATTATGTGTAACACACCTAGGTGTCACGAATCCCCCCGGTACTGCTGCTCATTCCGTTCACCAGCTCCGGAGGTCTACGTCACCGGTCTTCTAGGCGTCACTGACCTGGATCATTACCACCAACTGATAGATTCATTTGTATTTTAAGAATAAGGACTAAAGGATTTCACCCCAAATACAGTATAAAAATGTGTGAACGATGTTAGTTATAATTTAGTGTCAACCCACTAACAGAGGGGCGGGGAGTTAGAAACTGCTGAGAAAGCATTCCAGGGTGAAGGGCACTAAGAAACTGTTTAAAGGTGGGCAGAGCAAAGTGCCTTTGTGTGTCAAGGGATATAAAAGCTGTATGTATGTTTTTTGGCGCCAGAGCTCCCCATGAATAAAAATACAGATCATTCTTGCTGGTAGCGGACCTTTGCTTAATTCATGATTAAACCAGAGAATTTACACCCTCTGGGAATTATTCAGAGCATTAAGTTTGATTAATTCGAGATAGAAATTCTCGTGACACCAACCCCGGACTGTCTTGTCTCATTACGCACACCTGGTTCCCATTCCCCCTGATTAGCATGTGTATATATGTGCCCACTGTTCCCCATTGTCCTTGTCGATTATTGTCCCCATGTCCGTTGGTCTCGTGAGTGCCTGTGCTCTGTTGTATCGACTTTCGTGCTACGTGTTACTGTACATTGTATTGCGGTTTACATACCGTGTAATTGTGCACTTGTTATTACGGGTCTCATCCCGTGTATTATTTAGAGGTTTACACCTCGCTCCTCTGTTTGGGTTACAACCCTGTGTTTTTATTTATATATATATACACACACACACACGTGTTTGTTTTTGGCTTCGTCCCTGTTGTTTTTCATGACGTACCTTATATTGGGTAGAGAAATAAAAAATCCTATTACGTATTCATGCGCCTGTCTTCTATCATTATACAACGTGACACTAGGGCTGTTACGGTGACCTTATTACTGCCACACAGGCGGTCACGAGTCATGACGGCAGTCAAATTCCACGTGACCGTGTAGTCACAGTAATTAGGCTTCTCCAAGCTCTGATGCTGCTGCTGGTCATTAGTAGCCTACCAAACTTGCTAACTGCCTGGTACTCAGCACTATATTGTCCCTCTAATCACTCTGAAATCAATGTCATCGAAAATCTAATCAAACACTTCATGAGAGCCCATGAGGTCAACTTTCCTAATATTAAGCACATTGCTTCTCTTTACAACAGGAGTATAGCCTACCTGGCTGGCATGAAAATGAACCACAGGAAAAGCATCCTCCATTCGCTATTTAAGTGCATACGTAGATGACATGTATTTCGAGACGGGTGCATGATAATGGTCCATTCTAAATCAAAACAAATTTCACACATTTATGTAAAGACAAGATTAAATCAAGAATAGTGTGATGGGTGACAATATTAGCCTATCACTTGTGAATGAGATATTATCACTTGTGAATGATGCCCAGCTTAAGGCAAGAAACAGCTAATGGTTTTTTTGCGACTTTTTTCAAATCATAGTCGCACACCTCATGTAACCTAGCCCATAGGCCTATATGTTTTAATAAGGTTTGTATCACAACTAAAGTGGCCAAATAACTTCTTAAAATGAAGCACATTAATCCGCTTTACAACGGGTGTAGAGCCTAACTGGCATACATAAGCAGCGCGTGAGTTTCAAGTTTGGGGAAGATAATTTTCACCATAAAAATACACCTTTATAATAAAAGCATTACATGTATAATCACATTTGTGGTCACTTTTGAGAATGGTGTTTTCCGCTAATGGAACATTCGCGTTTATAGCCTACTGCTGTGTGCGCATTGCTGCACTTATAATGTGAAGGAATAGCCTAATAGTTTATCAACATTTTAAGCTAAACGTTCTCATCTGTTGCGTCAGGCTCATTGCTTAAAACAGTTTTTTTAATGCTAGTGGTTGTATTAATTTGGGATGTATCGCACCCCACAACTGTCCCAGACTATGTTTGGAATATTTATTTCTCGCACAGAATAGAATAGGTCAACTTTTGTACTATGGGGGATAGTAGATTGACATAGGCTAGTGCTTTTGCTGTTCGTTAGGCCTACTTATCTTGTTAGTTGACGAAAAGTAAATGTGGATAGTTCTTCCAAAATCTTCAATATGCACCTCGTAATTGGATAAGGACGCGCGCAGTTGCGTCCCCGATGTGTCTGCCTTCACTTGTAGCCTGTGAGAAAGACCCGATCACGTGACTGAGAGCCATGTGAGTGAGAGGTGCTACGGCACGCAGCCGGGAGAAGGGAATTATAATTATTATATTTTGCCCAAGGGCACAACGGCACTGGCCGCAAAAGGCATGGATTTCTTTGGGGGGCATTACGGCCACACAAAAGGGATGCAGCCGAGCAGAGCTCATGGCTTTCATGCAACTTTTTTTCAAATCATCATTAGAGTCGCATCATGCAGCCTTAGAATGTATTACAAATCTAAAACATATTGCCCAATGTTTGTATCACAACTAAAATTACATAAATAACTCTAAATTAAGCATATAGGAGTACCTGTTTCTTTGTTAACCGCTCAACACAGAATAGCCGCATGTGCGCACTCCCTCAAATCCTTTGGAGAATATATCCTTTCTATTTTTTTCAGCGATGTTCAACTGTGTTCTTCATACTATAAAATATATATAAATAATGCCACGGAATTCTAAGCAGATCTTGTCTGCTAAATGAACTAGTGTAGCCCACAGCCATATGGCATAGCCAGATCAGGACCTAACATAAGGACAACTCAGAGTATGCTATTCTGTTCTTCTGAAATATACTTAATTTTCTTCATATCATGTTTCTTTAGACCTGTCTAAAATAAATAATGGATTTATTGTGAAGGTGTAGGCTATATTACATGGATTTATTAGACTTTTTAAAAATGTAGATGTTCCAAGGGTCTGCATCAGTGGCTTGTAGGATATGTGTGGAAGCCAGGAGATGCTAAATATGTTTATGTTAATTAACGGTCAATTACCGTGAGACTGGCAGTTATTTGCTTGACAATCACCAGCTGACAACATTTTATGACCGCCACAGCCCTAAACACACAACAACATTCTGACAAGCCGGTGCCCTTGAACAAGCCCCTAACTAACCACAACGCTTTAACAAACCCCAACACTGACAGTCCGCTGCAGTCTTAAACCACACTGGCTATCATGTCAGTACTCTTCTCTTAAAATGCTATTCTACTTTATTGCCATAATTAAGGCCAAACTAGCTCTTATGACGACAATGTAAAGCCAAGCTATGAGTTGTTGTCATCACCTATGGGTTTCTCCCTTTAACCAGACCATGTCTCCTTTCCTCTCCCATGTGGTCTGGTCCCCTGCTGTGTTTAGCCCTGTTTGTAACCCTGTTATAGAGCCACTGTAGGGGGCAGGCCTGCCAGCCAGTGTTAGCCCAGGGCCCTCTCTCCCAGCCCTCTCTCCCAGCCAACCCTCTCTTCCACTGGGCTAGATTGTTCGCTAAGCACTGCCAAGAGTGAAGCCCAGGAGCCCAATCAATAACATGTGCAGTCAAGTGGAAATCACGCGTCTCGTACACACACCTATTCACGCACATATACACAAACAGATACGCATGCGTGCGCGAACACACTCACGGATACACTTGCGGAAACACACACTCACGTTTATTTTACTATCCTTGTGGGGACCAAACAATTGATTCCTGTTCAAAATACTATTTTCCCTGACCCTTACCCTAACTCCTAACCCTAATTCTAACCCTAACCCTAATTCTAACCTTAACACTAACCTAACCGCTTAGCCTAAAATAGCCTTTTTCCTTGTGGGGACCGATGAAATGTCCCCACTTGTCACGATTGTCCTTGTTTTACTATCCGTGTGAGGACTTCCGGTCCCCACAAGGATAGTAAAACCAAACACACAAACAGACACACTTCACACACCTGAACTAGGTCAACTAGTGAACACACAATGTCAGGAAGAGGAAAAGAAGGAACGGTCGAAGGGCAGCAGAACGTGAAGCGCAACAACCAACGCTGCCAGCAGATGAGCCCGAAGAGCCCCAGATCCCACAGCACGCCCCGAAAACAACATGAGCAGCAGAGAGGTGAGGAAGAGGAGGACAAGGGAGCAGAGAGGAAGAAACGACACCAACCCAAGAGCAACAGCCAGTCCTAAAGCCAGTCTTGCAGTCAGTCTGACAGCACACCAGAAAGCGAGAGTGACGAGGAGAATGATGACATCTTCGAGTCCGCCAGTGAAGAGCCATCCCAAGACCCTTCCCTCCCTGATGACACAGGTCCCGCAGCAGACTGGTCCACTCAAATGGAGGCCCATGATGACGACCCACCAAACCTTGCTAGTACTCCGGCCGCCTCCCACCTCTGCTCCCAGACACTTCCAGCTCCGTCAAAAAGTGGTAAGAAATGTCCTGTCTATTCCGCTTAGGAAGAGGGGACCACAAAAAATACAAAGTAAAGAGATGAAAAAAACCCCAGCCCTAAATGAATATCATTAAATAAACAAAACGTAAGAAAAATAATTACGGGACTTTTTTTTATTATCAGTATTGGTCTGCCATCTAATATTCTAAATGTATGGATTATCTCTAACGACCAACAAATATAAGTATTTACGTTTGAAATGTGTACTTTATATTATGCAATGTGTAATAAAATAATATTGTCAAGTCATGAATTCTCTTAATTATTGTTTAAAAAATAGATAGTCATATGTAGCCTGGCAAAGTCAACCCAGCACAGGACACAAACTAATTTGGGGTTGTTTATTCTGTCGAAGCTTACATTTTAAATAGGATAATGTAGAAGGGAAATCACTGCAAGCTGAAGCCACCATAAAGAAAGGTTCAGTCTAAATCACAATCAAGTGAAATAAATGTATTTTGTAAAGTGCATAAAAACAATCGGAGTACAATAAGTACAAAGTGAAATGCATAAACGGTAGTGGCTCTGCTTTCTATAAAAAAATAACAAGAAAATACTAAAACCACAATGTTCACAGTTAGAATGGACTTTACAACATTTCAAATATCTGAGTACAAGATGTCCATAAACAAAATGACATTGTGCATGATAAACAAAAAATACATTTAGTCATAAAACAATATGAATACTTACAAACACCCTGTCCACGTGATACCCTAACTCCACACGGAACAGTAAATCCTCATCTCACCCATACAGCACTGGGGAAAATGTCATACCAACATAATTTATAAGTTACAATTCAAAAATGAAACTAAATAAGCTTTACATGAAATGGAATGTAATTCTGATAATTACTCATGCTACAAATAATGTTATTATCAACTCCACAACGTGGTTCTGAGAGCACTGGGATTCAGCTAGTAAGAAGTGAACATCCTCATGTCAATCTGAAAGTATCAACAGGCTAACATGACCATCTGGCATAAATATTACAAAACAAACTCTTATACACTGCAGATGATGCAAAGTATGATATATTTTGGTACAAGAGTAAGATAAAAAGTATTATTTACCCATCTAAAGTAATGTTGGACCCACAATGGATTTCAACAGCTCTCCAGTGTAATTGCTTGCTCTCATGCTTACACACTGCACAATCCCATAACCGCTTGCATACATTATTTATGGGTCTTAAAGGGACAGTGCCATCTAGTGGATATAAATTATTACAGCTACGTGCTTTTACCACCTGGCTACATATATATATATATATATATATACAAAGTAAAGATAATATTACAATTAAAACAAACAACAAAAAAGCAATAAGTCCAACACCTGAGGAAGTGGAAACTCAAAACACATTAACTAGATCGCTAACGAAATATAAATATAATAACTAAATATAATACCCACTGCTTGTAGCCATGTATTCATCCAACAGTACATTTTATATCCTAAATAAACTTTGCAGTTATAGGCTACTACCCATTTCACACGTGCCACTCCATATCTCAAATCATCTTGGTTGTAAAATAGTTGCTGTTGAAAATAATATTGAGAGTTGAGAAATACAAATTATAGCTACAGAAAGCTGAGACAAGGGGGTGAAGCTTCCAACGCTGTGTTTTTCTCACAGCATGCCCCAGCGAGGAAACAGGCACATGGGCAGGGCAGACACTTTCATTACAGGAATCATGAGGATAATGCACTTTACTGTTGAACCAAATCAGGGTTTTAGCCGCCAAAAAAAATAGGACGTTTTGAGTGAGGTGACAATGTAGAATGTGCTTCTTCTACATTTATAGGCGTCCTTTCCGTTTTTTACGATCCATAATCTTGGCTGTCTAACTGATGACAGAGTCAAAGCAGGGCTCTTTGATGCAGTGTTGCCAACTCCTCAGTAAGGAAAGTAGCTATTGGCTGTCCTAAAAGTCGCTAAATGACGCCATCACCAAATTTGCATAATTGGCCATGTGCATGTAATTGTGATGGACGCTGTAGGAGAGAGGAATAACGTCGTGGGAGAGACAAAAAGTGAGTAAAAAACACCCTAAATATGTTTAGAACTACAAATTAACTTTCTTCTGTTGATTCTTGTTTTTTTTTATGTCACAATTCCAACCCTCCTCCTTTATCTGGGCTTGTGACCGGCAAAAGTGACCCAAAAGAGACACTCTGGCGGAGTTACTTAGTTTTTGTTTTGTTTTTTATAATTTATTTTGTTGCATGCTTCCCGCATGCGCAATTCATTTGCAGTCTGGAGACGTGGAGGGGTGAACATCTCCTGCTCTGACTGCAGCTGGGAGGGACTGCTGCGCGAGGACTGGGCCGCCTGTGAGTGCTTTGGGACGGGGACAGGGACAGGGGTGGGGCCCACGGGGTGGGGCCCATGGCAGCACCCGCTGCTCGTTGAGAAGAGTAAGAATGATACGTGCTTTCACGTCAGAGTCTCCAAAAGTCTCCAATAACACCAGAAAAAGTCGCTAGATTTGTCACTAGATGCTTTTTTAAAAAATGTGTCGCTAGAGGGGTATGAATACACGCTAAATATAGCAACAATGTTGCTAAGTTGGCAACACTGCTTTGATGATGCCGCTTTCAACTTTGAGTTTGCTCAGCTCAGCCTATCAGAAAACGGGGCCAGCCTATCTTGGTAGGGGGGTTGGCCGTTGCCCACTGATCAGCCAAAGGCTCATTATAGATTAGTGTAACAGAGAAATTGCGCAAAAATCATAAAAAGTATAATGGGCTGCCAGCCATGTCACCCTTTTCATTATTTTATTTTTAATAAAAAAAAAAAAAATAGTTTGTCAATTTCGACCAGCCCACCCAACTAAAGAATGGTCCAGCCCAGATGGCCAATCCGCCCTGGATGTAGAGGAAGCATTTCAGGGAACCTAATAATCTACAGGTGCTATTGGAATTGGAGTTCCGTTCAAGGAAAAACCCCTTACTATATTCTCATGTACAAATGCACTGGAAGAGTGGAAAATTACAGCTAAATTACAGTCAAGTTATTGTTTGTTTCTCACCCAACAACCATAACTTTAAATTCCTTGGATTCCTCTGAGATTCTTTTAAAGTTGAATGTCTAAAGTCCGTTGGATGGGGTATTCAAAACCCCCTTGGAGCTGAGCCATGAGAGATTCTTGGTAGTGTATAATTTTTCAGTCCTTCATTCTGTTTGCAATGCCTTTCATTAAAGGACCTCTGGTTAGATAGTTTGGAGAAGTTACGTTCGAAGACCATTAGAACTCTCTAGTCTATTTGTCAATCAATCCATGTTTATCGACCTTGAACCAACCGGAGGAGGCTGGTGGGATGAGCTATAGGAGGGCAGGCTCGTTGTAATGTCTGGAATGGAATCAATGGATGGTACCAAACACATCAAACAACACATGGAAACAACATGTTTGACTCCGTTCCATTGATTCCATTACAGCCATTATAATGAGCCCGTCCTCCTATAGCTCCTCCCACCAGCCTTCTCTGGAGCCAATTTATGTAACAGATCCTACAAGAGCAGCCTTTCATTAGTGCGATGTTGACAGATACCTTTGAAGATACATAGGACTATTTGAACTATAATTAGCAGAACATGACTGGTGCCCCTTTCTTCTGAACTGAATGCGCTTCTGTCATTCAGAAAAACAACAAAACTGTTGACCCTGGTCTCAGGTCAACTCTGTAGCCTTAATGTATGCAGTGCCTTCAGAAAGTATTCACACCCCTTGACTTTTTCCTAATTTTGTTGTTTTACAACCTGAGATTAAATTGAGATGTTTTGTCACTGGCCTACCCCATAATGTCAAAATTGAATTGTTTTTCATAATATTTACAAATTCATGAAAAATGAAAAGCTGAATTGTCCTGAGTCAATAACTATTCACCCCTTTGTTATGGCAAGCCTAAATAAGTTCAGGAGAAAAACATTGCTTAAGAAGTCACATAAAAAGTTGCATGGATTCACTCTGTGTGCAATAATAGTGTTTAACATAATTTTTGAATGACTACCTCATCTCTGTACCCCACACATATAATTATCTGTAAGGTCCCTCAGTTGAGCAGTGCATTTGAAACACAGATTCAACCACAAAGACCAGGGAGGTTTTCCAATGCCTCACAAAGAAGGGTACCTATTGGTAAATGGGTAATTTGTTTGAAAGAAAGTAGACATTGAATATCCCTGTGAGCATGGTAAAGTTATTAATTACACTTTGGATGGTGTATCAATTCACCCAGTCACTACAAAGATACAGGCGTCCTTCCTAACTCAGTTGCCAGAGAGGAAGGAAACTGCTCAGGGATTTCACCATGAGGCCAATGGTGACTTTAAAACAGTTACAGAGTTTAATGGCTGTGATAGGAGAAAACTGAGGATGAATCAACAACATCGTAGTTGCTCCACAATACTAACCTAATTGACAGAGTGAAAAGAAGGAAGCCTCTACAGAATAATAATATTCCCAAACATGCATTCTGTTTGTAATAAGGCACTAAAGTAAAACTGCAAAAAAAATGTGGCAAAGAAATGAACTTTATGTCCTGAATACAAAACGTTTAGTTTGGGGCAAGTCCAACACATCACTGAGTACCACTCTTTGTATTTTCAGGGATGGTAGTGGCTGCATCATGTTATGGGTATGCTTGTCATCGGCAAGGACTAGGGAGTTTTTTATGATAAAAATAAACGGAATAGAGCTAAGCACAGGCAAAATCTTAGAGGAA